GGTCGTTTTTTTCCCAAAAAAAGAAAAATAATGCAAAAAAATAAGATATTTTTTTGGAGTTTTTTGATTTAATTTTCCTGCGGCCGAAGACATCGAAATATTATGATTTTTTTGTTTCTATTTCAAGTTTTTTCTGCGAAAAAAAAAATTTTTTTTGTAACAAACGAGAAAAAGTTGGAATATTCTTGATTTTTTTGCGTGTACCCTCCAAATGGAATTTTTCTAAAGTTAATTTTTCACTGAAAAAAACTTTGAAAAAAACTTTTATAATGAATGAAAAAAACCATAAAATATTCAAATATCATAAATTGTCTTAAGATTAGAGTGAAAAAAATAAAAAGAAAAAAAGCCAAAAAAATGCTCAATTTTTTTCCTTATTTTTCAGCACTCCAACTTCATTTTTTTGCACTGAAAAAAACTTTGAAAAAAAAATTTTTTTAATGAATAAAAAAACTATAAAATAAACAGAAATCCTCATTTTTTTCAAGATTTGAAGTGAAAAAAATGAGGGAAAAAAACCGAAAAAAATCATTACTTTTCCTCTTCAAAAGCTCATTTCCACATAGAAACTCGTTCATTTCTCATGATTTGAAACTAAAGACATACAAAAAAATCCTAATTTTTTTCGATATTAACATTCAAAAAAACCATAAAAAAACTCCAAATATAACAATTTTTTTAAGCAACTCAAAAAGTGAGAAAAAGAAACAAAAAAACCGAAAAAAATCTTAGTTTTTTTCCTGCTTTTTCATCTTAAAAAGATCATTTTTCTTGAGTAAGATTCAAAAAACGTTCATTTTTCATAATTTAAAACCAAAAATGTACAAAAATCCTGATTGTTTTCAAGATTGGAAAAGAAAAAAATTAAGAAAAAAAGGCAAAAATTCATCATTTTTTTCCTGGGATTTCCTCTCTAAAAAAATTCATTTTTTTCTTCGACAAAAACTTCGAAAAAAATGTTTGTTTTCAAAAAAATTTCAAGTTTTAAATACTGAAAAATCCTAAATTTCTCATAAAAAAACTAAGAAAAAGAAGTTAAAAATTATACATTTTCTCTAAATTTTTCATGTTCAAAAAAATCATTTTATTGAATAAACTTGAAAAAAACCAACCTCCCGCGCAAATGTGGCGGCCCTTCGCCCATTAATAAAATATTGGCCGGTTTTAAATCGCGATGTAACACGAAATTCGAATGAAGGTAGTGAATCCCTAAATTAAATATTGATTTTTAGAAAAATTAATTACCGTTCAAAATTTGATAAACCATGCTTTTTTTACCATACTCTTCGGGACGAGGACTGATTGCTGAAAAAAATATTTAAAAATGGATTTTTTTGATTAAAAAAAGACCTTTTTTTACTTTTGGCACTCCTGTGATGCTTGATGACGTGCCAGAGGTCGTGCTCCGCATAATCCAACAATAACCAGACTTTTTTCTCGCTTGTCAGGAAAACCCGTTGCAGACAGATCAGATTCTGATGTCTGAAGAATTTCCTATCTTCTCATCTTATTTTCAATCGATTTCTCCCACTTCAACTCCCGAAAAAGGGCGATTTCCCTGCAGGCCGACATGGAAAATCCCTGGCCTTCGATCATTTTCAACGCGTATTCCTTCGCTGGATACTTTTTCGACTGTACTTTCGGCGTCGCTTTGTAGACCAGGCCATAGGTTCCGCGGCCAATCTTCAATCCAATTTAATTTCGGACAAACTTCAAAAAAAGAGCCCACCTTGGCTCCTTCAAAATAAAACAACTCTTCGACACGTTCTCGCGTCCGCATCAGCTCCTCCTTGAAACCATAGTCGATATTCATCCATTGCGACATTTTTGATCCGGCTGAAGCCTTCTAAAAAAATTAAACGTCAAAAAAATAACGCTTTGGCTTTGTCTTAATATGCAGAAGGAAGCGGATGCTTAAAGGTTTAAAAAAACCCCCACTTATCATTAGGAAGCTAAGACCGAAAAAAACAAATATAAAAACAGTATTATTATATTTAAAAAGAAAAAAATGAAAAAAAATAAATATTTCAAATGAGGGAAATGTCGTATGATAAAATGCATTCTGTGCAGCACCGTGACGCGCGTTTTGGGTGGATTTACATTTTGCACTTTTCATTTTTAAAATTTTCGTTTCCAATTGAAGTAACGTATTGAGAGGATGCTGTACAAGTGTTTCCGGGTTTTTTAAGTTGCGTAGATTCAAATGAGAAAACTTCAAAGTTTTTTGAATCTTTTTACCTCTTTTTTCGACGAGTAGATTTTTCAATTTTTTTTTTCTTGTCACTTCATAAAAGCCTTTCATATGAAAGTTCTAGTTTCTTTTCATTAATTTAGAGAAAAATAAAGCATCTGGCGCGTTGCCAGTGATTGATGTGCGCGCGCAAGTTCGCTGTTCCTTCGTATATTGTAAACATTGTCTCGATTTCTTCGTTTTTATTTTATGCCCAATTTTTCAGGTCCTCCTCGTTAAACTATGGTTTATAACAATTCTAAGTGATTCCACATTATAATAAGGTAGGAAAATGAGTGATTTTCCGAGAAAAAAGGGTTTTTTTTAGAAAATGTCTTGGCAACTTGTGATCGCCGGCGTTTGTGTTCATTTAATTTTGATTTATTCAATCTTCGACGTGTATTATACGAGTCCGGTTGTACATGGAATAGCTCCTCAGAGAGTTTCCAATCTGGATTCGCCTGCAAAACGGGTTTTTGTCATATCAGCTGGTTGGTTTTCAAATAAATGGTTATTATTGATGGGTTTTGTGTGAGGATTTTTTTGAAAATTTGTAGATTTTTCGAAGAATTGTATTTATTTCCATATCACTACCTAAATGATAATGTAAAATGTAAACATGTTCAATATAATTCAAAAGGACTTATATATTTATATTAAAACAGAAAAAAAGGAAACTGTTGTACCCACTAAATTTCATAAATTTTTCATAAATAAAAAAATTTTTCTGAGCAGTTTTTTTCGTGCCTAAAATGATTTTTTTAAATGCTTATCGTATAGATTTCTGTTTTTCCAGATGGTCTCCGCTACGATACTTTCAACAATAATCCAGAAAAAAATCCAAATATCTTCATTCTATTATTCAAGATCGCAAGGTAATTCTGGAAGATCCATTAATTTTTTCTCAATTTTTTTCCAGTCAAATTTTTGAACTTTCCACATTTTTTTATAGGATTACGTGATTTTTTTAGGTGAATTTCTAGGTTTTTAATTAATTTAAAAATAGTAGAATTTCTAGAAATTATAATTTAAAAAGAATATTTTTTTAAGTTAAAAGGCGAAAAAAAATGAGTTTTAACGGAATCCATATAATAAAAAAAGCGCTTCTGAAACGGTATGAAAAAAATTTCTCAATTTTAAAATCTATCCTGTAAAAATTATAATCACCGAATGAAACAGAAAAGTCATGTTCGAACAAAAAAAATTTTTAAAAAAGAAAAAATTTGACCAAAATTCGCATTTCAAAACATTTTTTGCCATTTTGGGGCATTTCGGGCCTTTCCTACAGTCACATCCCGACGGAATCCCGTCCGGGACATGTTGCGTTATTCGCCGGGATAACTGAGGATATCAGTGCCGTGGCGAAGGGTTGGAAGAAGAATCCCGTCGAGTTTGACAGCGTTTTTAATCGGTTCGTTTTATTCTTTTTTTCGGAAAAGGACCCTTTAGGGGCCCATTTTGGGTGCGAAAAGGTTTCCATTAATTGTTCCCAAATGGTTTCCTTTTCACTGCCTTTTTCCACCTTTTCATCGGCCTTTTTCTACCCTTTTTGGACCCTTTTGAGAATCCCAAATTTTTTAAATTGATAATAATTTTTACCAGTGACTGTGTATGCACCAAAATGTGCTACAGTAATCAAATCGGAAATTATCAATGGCCGAGTTTTTTTTTCACCCTTTTTTTGCCCTTTTTCCGCCCTTTTTTGCCCCCTTTTTTCACCCTTTTTCCACCCTTTTTTCACCCTTTTTCCACCCCTTTTCCGCCCTTTTTTCACCATTTTTTCGCCCTTTCTAGCCCACCAAGAAAGGCTCAATAAAGGCCGCAAAACGGATCCCTTTTAGCGGCCATTTTGCACCCGTTTTCCATTCTTCCGACTTTGGCAGTGTAGTTTTTTTCTTTGCAGTAACGTGAAAGGCATCAAAATGAACAATAAAAAAACATTTTTTTGTTGAAAATCTGATCAAAAAAATTGAAATTTCAGATCATTTTTTTGAAAAAAATCGAAAAAAATCGCAAAAAAATTTTCGAAAAAAATTTATTTTTCTGAATGATCCTTATAATTTCTGACATTAAAAAAATTTTTTTCAAGTATATGATCAAAAAAACGTTAGATTTTTCTGGTCATTTTTTTCAAAATATTGAGAAATTGACGATTTGAAGAATAATTCATGAAGCATCTGACCAAAAAAATTGAAATTTCATGCCTTTTTTTCGAAGTTTGTAAATATTGGTTCATTCTAGTTTCGTTATAATTCATCTTAGAAACGCCAGAGTGGTCCCTAAAGGGGTTAGGGAGAAAAAAAACCCTTAAAGAGGTTAAATAGCGCCCCCTAAAGGTTTAAATTTAGGTGGTCCCTATAGGGAATTTTCATTTTTTGTTATGATTCGAAGGAAAAAAAGGTATATTTTTTTTCAAGCCTTAGTGCCCCCTATAGAGGGAAAATTAAGTGGCCCCTAGAGGGAAACCTTCAAGGTCTTCTAAGGACGCCCCTTAAGGGATCACTCTGAAGCTCCTAAGACTTGAAAACTGACTGATTTTGTCGGGCGCTCTCTCGTTTCCACGTGCTTTTTGTCATATTTCTAGAACCGATGAGGGAAATAGAGAGTGCAGACAGGTCAGAGGGTTTCAAATAGTGGCAAGCTTACTCATTGAATCAATTATATGTCATTTTGACTTTTTATAGATCCGCTGAAACATGGATGTGGGGTAGTCCGGACATCGTCGAATTGTTCGACAATGTTCCCCACGTTCATTCGTTTTCCTACTCATCTCAGGAGGAGGATTTCGCCTCGGAGGACGCCTCCAAACTCGATTCTTGGGTCTTTGACAATTTTGAGGTTCATTTTTAGGATTTATAAAGAATAATTTCGTTTGAAAACGGCCGAAAAATGGAATTTTTTCGAAAAAATGACGAAAAAAGGCTTTGAAATTTATTTTTTAAAGTGTCCTTACCACAGAAAAATTGGAAATTCCTAGGATTTTTGCCTTAAAATCGAGTTTTCATCTTTGAATCGAACTTAACTGCTTCAAAACGTCGGAAAATTCGATTTTTCGTGTTTTTTTAGACGTCATTAGTTAATTCAAAAGTGAAAGTGTTCCAGAATGACTTTCAAATTGACTTTTTTTGAATTTTTTTAGAGCAAGTTTGATGTATTTCAAAACAAAAAAATCGAAAATTCTTACGATTTTCGCCTTTAAATAGAGCTTTACTGTGTGAAAATGTCAAAAAAGGCGGTTTTTGGTAATTTTTAAGCGGAAGTATTCGATCAAAAAGTAATAAAAAGCTACAGAGTTGCTTTAAAAATTCAGTTTTTTATTTTGCAGGTGATTAAGAATGAAATAATGTTCAGAAATTCATCAAAAAGGCTGAAAACGACACGGAATCATCGGAAAAACTCCGAAAAGACGGCGTCATTTTTTTCCTCCATTTGCTGGGAATCGACACGAATGGACATGGGCACAAGCCCCATTCCAAGCAGTATATCGACAATATTCGGGGTTTATTTTTTTGTTTTTCAGAAAAAGTGCAAGAATTATAAAGAAAAATTATGAAAAAAATTTGAAATTTTTTTCATCGGAGAAGGGGGTTAGAGTGGTAAAAAATCAAAAATCTCAACTGGTAAGGCGATTTTTAACACTTTTGAATAGTATTTTTTCTAAAATGAGCTCTCGGAGAGTCCCCTTTAGGGACCACATTAAAAAAACACTGTAGAGGCCACTAAAGCTTGCAAAAGTGGTCCCTATAGGGAACATGCAAGTCGATAATTGTTATGAACTCTAAGCGAAGAAGCATTTCTATGGGAAAACATTGAATAAATAGGCATTTTTTTAAAATTAAATTGAAGGACTTCTTAAGCGACCACTTAAGGTTTAGGGGCTAAGGGATCCGGGTCTAAACCACTATAGGGACCACTCTGGAAATCCTAAGCTAGTAGTCCCCATACGTCTTTTTGATGAGTCTCTTTAACTTTGAAATCGAAACAGAAGTTTACAGGACCCTATAGGGACCACTTGAGCTTTAGAAGCTTAGGACCCTGTCAGACCCTGAACCCCTAAAGGGACCACTCTGGAGCTAGTGTCCCCCCTACGTTTTTTTGATGAGTCTCCTTAACTATCAAATTGAGTCAAAAATTAAAAGACCCCTATAGGGATCACTAGGGCTTCAGAGGATGTAGGGGTCAGACCCCAAATCCCTATAGGGACCACTTGACTTTTTGCCCTCTAGGGGTCAGTATGTCGTCCACTGTAAGGTCCCTAACCCCTCTAGGGACCACTCCAGAATTTTTTCAAGCGTTTAAATGATTCATTCATCATGGGGTTGAGAAAATAGAGATTTTCGTGTGTTTTTTCGTTTCTTTGTTACAATTTTGAAAAAATATATCAATTTTCTCAAATTTTAGTTGTGGACGAAGGTGTTCGGAGGGTCCAGGAACTCGCCGACAAATTTTTCGGAGATCAAAAATCGGCCTGGATTTTCACTGGAGACCACGGAATGACCGACTGGGGCTCTCATGGAGCTGGAAGTGACGAAGAGGTCTCGCAGCGAAAACTACAGTATCCTTCATTTTTGCATTTTCCAGGTTTTGACACCTTTTATCGCCTGGGGAAGTGGAATACGGAAAGGTGGCGCCAGGATTTCCTTGGCTCAGGTAAATTTTCCATTTTGAATGTTTTTTTAATGTTCAAAGTGTTTAGAAAATCTTAAAAATACCATTTTTCATGAGATTTTCACATTTTTTAGACATTCCTTTCGATTTTTCAGTCTTTAGGTGCCAAAAATTAATAATTTCAAAGTTTTTTTACATCTTAAAATTATTAGAAACCACACGGAATGGCTTCTTAAAAAGCGTTGCGGTTCGGTGCGAAATTTGAAAATGGCCCAATATCTGCGCCCGACCTTGAGCGACTTTGACCTTAGCCTTTAAAATGCCTTTTGAGGCTGCTTAGAGAAGCCAGAGGGGTCCCTAAAGGGGTTAGGAAAAACAGTTTTTATAGAGATAAAATGAGGTGGTCCCTTTAGGGGTTTAGGGTCTGACCTCTCAGCTTCTAAAAGTTAAGTGGTCCCTATAGTGGTCTTTCAACTTTTGGCTCAGATTCAAAAAGCTAAAACGGCCTCTATAAGGCTGAAATTGAAGTGTTTTCTACAGGGGTTTAATGTCTGACCCCCCTCCCAGCTTCTAAAGCTTAAGCGGTCCCTAAAGTGGTCTTTCAATTTTGGTTCAGGTTTTAAAGATAAAAAGACATATAGAAACCACTAGCGTGCTCCCCTAGAGTGGCCACTTCTGCAAGCTTAGTGGCCCTTTTTAGGTGGTCCCTATAGGGGTTTAGATTCTGACCTCTCAGTCTTTAAAGCTTAAGTGGTCACTATAGTGGTCTTCTAACTTTTGGTTCAGATTTTAAAGGGAAACAGACGTGTAGAAATGATTAGTATGCTCCCCTAGAGTGACCACTTTTTCAAGCTTCACTGCCTCTTTTAGGGGAAGGTAGAGTGGTCCCTAGAGGGAACCTACAAAAGCCTTTGACCCTCTAGGGATCACTCTGGCGTTCCTCAGTTTTCCTGAAATTTAATGATCCCTCTAGGGATAAAATTGAGGTGGTCCCTATAGGGGTTGAGGGTCCGATTCCTCAGCCTCTAAAGCTTGAGTGGTTCCTAAAGTGATTTTTCAATTTTCAGTTTTTTTAAAGATTAAAAGACGTGTAGAGACAACTAGAAAGCTTCCCTAGAGTGGCCACTTTTTCAAGCTTTAGTGGCCCGTTTAGGGGGAGGTAGAGTGGTCCCTAGAGGGAACCTATAAGAGCATATGAGAACTAAGATTGACCCTTTAGTGGCCACTCTGGCGTTGCTTAGCAGCTTTTTTCGCGTGTCTGCATCTCTCTGTTCCCTCACCGACGAGGTCAGAGAAACATGAAAATAGCACGTAAACTTGAGAGGGTCGCCGAGAGATGAGGAGGGCGCAGAGAAGTCCAGCCCTTTCAAATCGCAAAAAATGGACTATGGACGCATAAAAAGAACTATAGTCTGGTCAGATTTCGAATGTCAAGAAGAATGACGTCATCCGAAAACGCCCTGTAGATGGCTCGCTCTCTGATTGGTTTATTGCGTCATTAGGGGCGGAGCTTCAGCGAGGACTTGACATTTGAAATGGGGACTTTTTAAGGCAACCGCCACGCGTCGAGCCATTCCAAATGCGGCTTAGAAATTCTCACAAAAGGAATTTTTCAGATCGACGTGACCCCCTTGATATCTTCCCTAATTGGAAAAGCTGTCCCGGTGAATTCGATGGGAGTTCTGCCGGTCCAGGCCATGCAGGCCGACCCGCAGTTCACTTTTCGAGCCGTTTTGTCCAATTTCCTGCAGGTTTTCAATGTTTTTTTTTGTTAGGGAAGTCATTTTTGGCTTGAAATTTGTGAAAATCGATTTTTTAAAGTTTAAAATTTACATTTTTTGAGAAAAAGGGCTCAAAAAAGCATCTGAATCCGGAAAAATGGGTCATTTTCAAGAAAATCAGTGGTTCTTTGGTACCCTAATGGGTATAGAGGATTCTGTCATATTTTTGGAAAATGCCTCAGAATCTTCAGAGTGGTCCCTACAGGGGTTAGGGGGAAAAACAGACCCTATAGGGGCCAGAAAGTGCTCCCTATAATGGTGAAACTGAAAAATCCCTATAGGGGCCACTTTTGCGAGCTTTATTCGCCCTTATAGGGGGAGCTAAGTAGTGCCTTAAGGGAACCTTTCAACGGTCCTAAAGGGGTCACTTTTGCAAGCTCAAGTGACCCCTATAGGGGCAGCTAAGTGGTACCTTAAGGGAACCTTCAAGGGCCCTATAGGGGCCACTTTTGCGAGCTGAAGGGACCCATATATGGGAAGCTGAGGGGTGCCTTAAAGGGAAGCTTCAACGGCCCTATAGGGGTCACTTTTGCAAGCTCAAGTGACCCTTTTAGGGGGGAGCTAAGTGGTCCCTAGAGAGGACCCTTCAAGGTCCCCAATCTTTGCCCCTGTAGGGCTCACTTTGGAGTTATGAAGCTCTTGATAGTTTCCTACCGAAAATCCCTTCATTTTTAGTTGAAAGCCCAAGTGACGGCCCTTCGGAACGAAAAATCGAACCGTTTTTGGTTCCAACAGTACCCGAATTTTGGCGACAAGGCAATGGACTCCTTGGAGAGCGAAATGGTCAAATTGGCCAAGGCTAGGTTGGAAAAAATGACTTTTTATAGGGCAATTCGAAGGCGGAAAGATGAATTTAGAGTCAAAAAATTGAAGAAAAATTTGAAATTTTGAGAAAAAAATTGGAAACTTTCAAATTTCAATCATTCAGCTCACTACAGGGAAGCTTCGAAATCGATTTTTAGGCAAATATTTAAAAAAAAGTGATTTTTTTGAAGAATTTTTAGTCATTTTTTAGTTATTTTCCAATTTTTGGAGGCCCTTGAAGGTGAAAAATAAGCCTGTAGCTCTCAATTTGAACTAAAAAAATGCGAAAAAAAATTGTTTAGAAAAAAAAGCCATAAAAATTGCAGCATCTGTGCTCCATGGATAATTATCATTGGAGCGCATTTTTCCTGATTTTTTTCAAATCTTTTCTTTTTCAAAGCTTTTCTAAGAATAAAAACAATGGAATTTTCGATTTCAGGCGATATTCGGTCGCGATATCGCTCTTTTCCGAGAACGCGATGCAGCTAAAATCGGCGATCATGTACTATCATCGTTATGATCGCGCTTTTCTGGGCTCCGCCGTTTCTGCGTTATTCATTTCCTGGATTTCTTTAGTCATTTGCTATTTATACAGGTTTTTTCTAAGGATAGTTAAGAAAATCTCTAAAAATAATTGAAGGTACCCCGAAGAAATGAGCCTCGACAAGGCCTTTCTCACGCCGAAACCGTATTTTTGGCCCATTTTCGTCTTTTTCACCTTTTTCTGCTTCTACTGCAAAATTTCCCTCTCCCAGTCGATTTACGTCCTCCTACCTGTTTATATATTCGCCTTGGTCGAAAATGGAAGTCAGGTGAGTAGAAAAAAAAAATTCATTTATGATTTTGTGAAAAAAAAAATGCGACTTTTTGGCTGCCAGACGCACTTAGAATGATTCAAAATGTCATTTCGCGCAAACCGTTTTGAGTCGGGTACACTTTGAAAAAAGCCCTTGGAGAGCCATTCCAAGTGATAAGAAGGATTTTGGCGCGAAAAATAGCCGCGATTTGGGAAATTAGGCCTCGGCTTTTTTCTGTCGCTAAGCTGCATGAAAACCCTTTAAAAACAACTGTGGCCTAATTTTCCAAAATGCCATTGCGCGCAAACCGTTTTCGGTCGGGTTCACTTTGAAAAATGCCCGCTACGCATAGGCAGCCATTCCAAGTGCGGCCAGGAGACCTCAAACTTCCAAAAAATTTAATATTTGATCAATTTTCCATTTCAAAACCTATGCTTACAGTCATGATTCCAAGAGCACCCGACCCAAAACGGTTTGCGCACAATGGCGTTTCAAATCATTCTGAGTGAAAGATAAATAAATTTTAGAGAGTTAGAGATAATTTTGAATTTTTTAAGAATTACTTCAAACACGGAATGAGTTGCAGGCAAGATTTTCAAAAAATAAGAAAATTAACCCCGATTTTTCTAGAAACAGTAAAAATAGATAGTCGTCTTTAATTAGAGAAAGTTTTAAAAAAATTGTTTTTTTCGGTTTTTCATGAAATAATGTCTGTAGGAACATTTAAATTCGAAATAATTAACCCTGAATTTTTTTAGAAACAGGAAAAAGAAACATAGTCGTCTTTATTTTTAAAAATCCTTGAAAACTTTTTTTCTTCTTTTTGTAGTTTTTCCAATTTGAAAGAACATTAAAATTTGGTTTTTTTCTATCATTCTTGATCCGGAAAATTTCAGATTTCTTCAGTACTTATCCTGAAAAATCCGCCAATTTTTCATCCAAAAATCGAAAAATCCATCGCTTGATTTTTTTGACCAAGCCCTTGGTGGTTCTTTTTCATTTTTCAGTGAGTTTTTTTCGATTTTTTTTTTTTTTTCTTGGTAAATATCCTTTTTAAAAAAAAGATACGACTTGTTCAGGCATAGTGATATGCGTCTTCGTCCTGACTTTCCTCGATCGCCGATTTTTTTATCCTTGATTTTTTTCTACTTCTCGGCTTTTTTTCCCAGCCCTTTACGACTCGGAATTGGTCAGCAAATGGTTGGTTTTATTTTTACAGGGGCCTTGAAAAACATATTTTCGCAAGATTGTCGATTTTTAGTTATTTTTTACTATCTGAAACTTGAAAAAAATCTCAAAATTGTCTTTTTGAAGTGTTCCGGATCGTGTTTCTAATGAAAAAAATCACTTTTTTCCCACTGAAAATTGAGTTTTTTGTTCATAAAATCGATCAAAAGCTGAAAATTCACCTGAATTTCAAAAAAATTCGAACGAAAAAAATCTTTTCTTTTCTACTGAAAATTGAACTTTTTGGCTGTGAAAATAGGCGAAAGCCCACTAAAAAGCTGAAAATTCACTTGAATTTCGAAAAATTGAGCTCTAAACCAAGATATTTTCATTGGAAATCGATTTTCGTTACTCTGGAGGCTAGTATACCTTCTGAGACTCAAAAAATCTCAAAAATGACCCTTTTTAAAGCTTTCCGGATCGTTTTTTCAATGAAAAATCGCTTTTTTCTATTGAAAACTGAGTTTTTCGGTTTTAAAATTAGGTGAAAGGTTTCCGAAAACGTCTAAAAAAGGCATTTTTGATCAGAAAAGGGTTTTCAGTTTTCAAAAATACTATTTTCGGTTCAAATAATCAATAATTTTCATTTTTTGGTTTTCAGAACATTTTTTGAGCCTCAAATCCTTGTAGCTGAGATTTTTTTAACGAAAAAAATCGCTATATTCTGCTTAAAATTGAGTTTTTTTGTTCGTAAAATCGGGTAAAAGCTCTTTGAAAAAGCTCGAATTTAATCTCTTATTTTAAAAATTTTTTTCCAATTCGATTTCCATAACACTTTTTTGAGCCTCTAACCTTGTAGCTTAATTGTATTTTTATTGAAAAATCGCTATTTTTTCCTTAAAGTTTAGTTTTTTGTCCAGAAATTAGGGTAAAAACTTTACAAAAACCTAAAATTTCATCTCTAATTTTCCCTATTTGATAGCCAAACCGTATTTTTATACAAAAATCGCTATTTTTTTCCTTAAAATTGAATTTTTCTTCATGAAATTTGGCAAAAGCTTCCTGAAAAGTTGGAAAGGCTGTCAAAAAAATCAATAAATCAATAATTTATCGATTTCCAGGACGAACATCTGGCGCCTGAATTGTCTCCTCCTGATGCCTTTTCCATTTTTCCCGCCAGTGGGAGTCTCGACCTTCGCGACTCTTTGTATCATCTCGCCGGCCATTCTGGCTTTTGCCTGCTATCGATTCTCCACAAAACCGATCCTGTCCCGACTTTCCCCGGTTTTCCGCCAGTTGGCATGGATCCTAGCGGCGACCGCCGGATTCATCCTCGTCGTTCACTTTTTTGAGAGGGTCAGTGAGGGTTTTGAACTTGAAAATTTCAATTTCTCTGGTTCTCCCTTATTTTCATGCTGTTTTGCCTTTCTCTAACTTGAATGGTGAGGGAAAGAGAGCACAGACAGGTCAGACTGTCTCAATTCATCCAGAATGAATTTTAACTCGAAAATTGAACTTTTGCGCTCTAGTTTTAGCTACAAATTCATTATATGTGAAAATTCGGCCTTCGAAAGTCAATAAAAAATTAGTTTTCCATATTTTTTTAATGATAGAGAGGATTTTGGCGCCAAAAATAGCCGCGATTTGGAAAACTAGGCCTCGGGTTTTTTTTCTGTTACTAAAATCCAAGAGAAAGAACGAAGGCCTAATTTTCCAAATCGCCGATCATTTTGAATGTTTTTTCCCGCCAAAAACTCAATGGGTCGCTAAATTTCACTTAGGATAGCCAGAGTGGTCCCTATAGGGGCAAACTTAGGGACACTGAAAGGTAACCCTATAGAGACTACTTTTTTTTTCCTATGGGGGGCCACTAAAGGTTGCAGAAGTGGTCCCTATAGGGGAGCATGCTAGTGGTTCCTATACATCTCTGTATCTTTCGAATCGTAAGAAATAGAAGACCTCTAAAGGGACCCCTTAAGTTTCAGAGGCTTAGGGGTCTTATCCTGAAATCCTATAGGGACCACTTAAATTTCAGCCCTTAAGGGAGCTCTCTTTTGTCCCATGTATGGGCTGATTTTTCTCTGACCCCTATAGGGGGACCGCTCTGGCGCTTCTAAAACCGGGAAATTCAATTTTTTTCAAAGAGTCAAGCTTGAACTTTCAATTTATATTCAAAAAAAAGAACCAAAATGCCTCATAAATCTTTTTTTTTCAGCCCCCAGCCGTGGCCCGATGGATCTCGTGGCTTTCGATCCCCTTGGCCCTCATCCTCCCATTTTTCTCCTCTTCTCACATCGTCGACCGGCTGATCGTCTTCTCCGGAGCCTTTTTCGTGCCTTATTCCCTGCTTTCCATCAACTACGAATCCCTTTTCACCCTCCTCTTCATGCCAATCGTCGCCATGTTCGTCCGTTTCGAATTCGCCCATCTGTCGGATGTCGACTTCTTGCAGTTGAACTTGGAAAAAGCTGGTGAGGGAGTTTTTTTTAGGGTGGTTTTTAGTGAAAGCTTAAAAAAGTAAGAGAAAAAAACCAGGTCGAATAGCTCCAATCCAGACGCTGTAACACGTAGAAAATGTAAATCGGCTTGATAGGCAGGCTTAAAAGTTGCACCCGACCCGAAACGAGTTCCGCGCAAGGGCGTAGGAAAACATCACAACTAGACAAAACTTCAAATGAATCTCGAAAAGTATATCGAAAATAAAAACCCTAGACTGAAAGTATTGGTAAACAGAGACTCAAAAAGTTGCACCCGGCCAGAAACGACTTCCGCGCAGAGGCATTAGGAATCATTTAATCAGCTGAAAGTCGTTTCGAAGGATGTAATAAAGATAAATCTAAGAATCGGTCTCGAAAAAGAATATCAGGAAAAAAGCCTGAAAATATTATATCGTCTTTAATTTTGACATTTTTTGGAATATGTCGCAAAAATATTGAAGAAAACTGTTTTTTGTGAAATTTAAAATCGAAAGCGAGAGATCAGTGCGACTTGAAGAGACGCCAGAGAAGCTAGGACACTCTCCTTCTCTGACTTCTCTTCAGGCGCCAGCGATCTCTCTCTCTCAACTGAAAAATTTCAAACACGGGTGAAATCAAATTTTTTTTTGCACGACGATAAATACCAGAATTTGCTCAATTTCCAGCCAATCCAAAACGTCAAAAAGTTGGTTTGGCCGAACTTCGAAGGGCTGTCATTTGCGTCGCTTTCGTTTTTTCGTCGCTTTTCGGGACGGGAAATTTCGCCTCGATCAATTCGTTCAATCCTTCGACTTTGAATCGATTCATTTCGGTTTTCAGGTGTGTTTTGTAGATCTAAAATAAATAGGCGCTTGAAAAATAATAATTTCAATGCAAGTTTGGTTTGTTAATGTATTTTTCAACCTTTAATGGGTAAGCCGGAAAAAAAACCAGTCGAAATTGGTTGAAGCGAGAGATCAAGGCGTCTAAAGAGACGTCAGAGAAGGAGAGTTTTCTAACTTCTCTGGCCTCTCTCATGATCGAATACTATTTCTTGTCGAGAAGCTTTTTAAGAAAAGCGAGAGATCAGAGCGTTCTGAAGAGACGTCAGAGAAGTCAGAACACTCTCTTTCTCTGGCGTCTCTTACGCTGTCTTTGTCTCTCGCTCGAATTCGTTTTGGGCCATTTTTTCAGCCTTGATAGAATTAAAAACCTTTTTTTGAAAAGCGAGAGATCAGAGGGTCCCGGAGAGACGCCAGAGAAGTTAGAGCACTCTCTTTCTCTGGCGTCTCTAATGGCTGCCGTTGATCTCTTGCTCAAATTCATTTTTAGTCCATTCACGATGGCTCTTCTGCTCGTTCTGAAACTTCTGATTCCGGTGTTGATGACCTCCTTGGCCATGTCGGCCATTGTCCGGTTCGATAAAGACGCTATCCAAAGACTATGCTGCGTCGTCCTGGTTATTACCGATTTCATGTCTTTGGTGAGTTTTTAGGGCTGGAAGATTTGTCAGAGGTTGAAAATTCGGATTTTTTGGGTCGTATAAGGAGTAAATCATGAATGATTTGAAATTGTATGATTTTCTTGGCGGGGCGGTCGCGATGCGGTTTATCTGATGAAAAAATTATCTGATTTTTGAATATTTCTCAAGTTCTCATTGAACAAAGATATGAAATACTTTCCAAAAAGATTCTTTAAAAATTTTTTTGAAGAAAGGAATTTTAATGAAGTTATAAGATTCGAATTGGCGCCGAAAACGCGTTGTACCCATGAAAATCTTGATCAAAACGACATAAAATGGTTAATTTCAACATTTCAAGCGTTTTTTCTCAATCCATCTTCATAAAAGCATCATTTTATTCAAGAAAAAAAAGTGGCAAAAATAAATTGCACTCGAAAGGATTCGAACCCGCGTCGTGGGTTCAACGGCACAAGGCCACTAGCCACTACACCACGCCGCCTGCTGGCAGCTGGAGTTAGCCGCCGCCATAAATTCCCCCCTCCTATCGATTGCGTGCACACTTTGAAGCGCCATAACTCGACTAGAACCAAAAATTCGCACTTTTTCAAACTTTTTTGGATTCGGGGTGTTCGAAAGTACCTATATACCAAGTTTCATCGGAATCCAATATCTCGAACACTTCCCATTGAACAAAAAACGCATCATTTCATGGCGTTTTTGTTAGTGGAAGAAAATACAAAATTGAAAAATTAAGAAGCGTGGTCAAAATCTACGCCGTTCCCATTTGACGTCATGGGAAAAACGCGTAAACAATAGGAAATATTAAAGGCGCATGTGCAATGGGTCCTGAGAAGAATCGATTTCACATTTTAAAAACGCGATTTTTCTGTTTTTTTAAAGACATGCCGTGTTGAGAGTAGTTCCGCGAAATTCAAAATAGCCACCAGAGAGTGAAAAGTATGACTGAATTTCATTTCGCACGGCGTTTTTTTGCCATTTTTTCCGTAAAATGTAGTGTGTCTTGTGCATACACTGCGGCGCTCTAGCCCACGCCGAGTTCAACGTAATTTTCGCGAAATCACTCTCAACACAGCATGTGTTTTAAAACAAAAAAAAAAAACAGAAAAATCGCTTTTTTTTCAAATGAGAAATAGATTCGTCTCGGGACCCATTGAACATGCGCCTTTAATATTTCCTGTTGTTTACGCGTTTTTCCTATGACGTCACATAGGAACGGCTGAGGTTCTGACCACGCCCTCTTAATTTTTGGTTTCGCATTTTCTTCCACTAACAAAAAAGCCATGAAATGACAAGTTTTTCGTTTAATGGGAAGTGGTCGAGATATTGGAATTCGATCAAACTTGGTATATAGGTACTTTCAATCACCCTGAATCCAAAAAAATTCGAAAAAAGTGCGCCTTTTTGATTCTAGTCGAGTTTTTTTTCTGATTTTCTCCCTCTAAGCCTTTCTGTTGATGGAGTCAAGCCGCAACGCTTCAAGCCATTCCAAATTATGATCATTTCCAGTGCTTCTTCCACCAATTGCGCGACGAAGGCAGCTGGCTCGACATCGGGATGAGCATCTCCCAGTACATTGTCTCCATGTGCATTTCCTTGGCTCTTCTCGTTTTGCTCTTTGTTTCCTCCCACATGATGACTTTGAAATTGTCTTCTCCCAAAAACGTGTACCTTTTTAAATCCAAACGTGTGCCTTCCCCTTCACCGTGATTTGAAAATTGATTTTTGCCTTTTTGAATGAGTCTATGGGTGTGTTATAAAAGAGGTGAATGAAGAAATGAGGGCTTTTTGAAAGAAATTTTCTTCTCGAGACCCAAAAAAAGCCTTTTAAAGGCGCAGACCCTCCAAATTCTCTTCATTCACCTTTTTAAAGATAATTTTAATGATATTTCTTGTTCGATTAAAATTTTTAAGCTTAAAATCCCATTTTTTTTTTCAATTTTTGCCTTTTGAGTCTATGGGTAGGGACCGCAGACGAACTTTCAAAAATTATTTTTCAGCATTGAGCTTCGTATGGTTCGATAGCTGTTTCGATTCAAAACTCAGAACCGTTTAGTTTTTCAAAAAAGATTGAGGATGAAAAAAGTTATGACGAAAAATGTGGCGCGCCGCGCACCATTTTTTTAGTACTGAAATTTTAGTATTATTCATTTTTGACATTTTTCTCGATTTTTCTTCTAGAAAAAGTTTTGATACTGGTCTATTATGATGTAACAAATCATAATAGAGTGCTAAAATGATGCTAATCAGCTATTTTGCCGAAAAAGTCGGTATTTTCCAGAAAACAAAAAACTGCCGCTTGCGGGCATCGAACTCGCGACCTCAAAATGTAAAATCGGAGCGCACGCGTTGCGCCAAGCGGTCAGGTCTAGCGAAGGGAGCTTCCATCCGCCTTACGCTTGAGCCGTTTGAATAGCACAGATTGCCTATTTCGAAAATAAAAAAACTTGAAGTAATTTAGCTATTTTTTTATCAGAATATGTTCGCAAATCTTTACTCAAACGTTTCGTGGAAATTCACTTCGAAAAAAACTGTTTTTTTAGTGCTTTTTGATTCGTTTAACGATCGCTGCATTAAAACGGCCCCGTAAATTTTTTTGGCAAAGACGAATTTTTTTATTTTATTGTTTTAATATTACCGTTACTTAAATCAAAATCACTATTTAAAAAAAGAAAGAGTGCGTTCGACCTGAAAACACATGAAAAAAAGCAAAAAAATGACAACAATTTTTTAGTTCCATTCACGTTTTTGTACGACATTCCGCGCGAACGCATCAAAAAAGCGTGAAATATTTTTTAAACGAAAGAGGAAGCTTTTCTGTACATGTGTGTCGAATTTTATTCGCCAGTTCCACATATTTTGCAACTACAACAAAATGAAAGTTGAAAACCAAAAAAAAGCCACTTTTTCTATCGCGAAAAGGGGCGTGGCTTTGCGGTCCCTATCTATGGGTGTTAGAAAAGAGGTGAATGAAGAAATGAGGGATTTTTAGGGGCAATTTCTTCTCGAGACCCAAATTTAAGTTTCAAAAAAGCATTTTAAAGGCGCAGACCCTCCAAATTTACTTCAATCACCTCTTTTAAAGATAATTTTAATAATATTTCGTGTTGAATTAAAATTTTGAAGCTCAAAATCCCATAGTTTCCGATTTTTGCCTTTTTAAATGAGTCTATGGGTGTGTTAGAAAAGAGGTGAATGAAGAAATGAGGGATTTTTAGGGGAAATTTTCTTCTCGAGACCCAAATTCGATTTTCAAAAAAGCTTTTTAAAGGCGCAGACCCTCCAAATTTTCTTCATTTACCTTTTCAAAGATGATTTTAATAATATTTCTTGTTAAATTAAAATTTTTAAGCTCAAAATCCCATATTTAACCGTCTCAGGTGCTCATTCCAAGGTGCTTTTTTTCAGAAAATTTCATTGATAATAATAATTAAAGCATTTATAAACACCAATAAAACACGCACAATTTTAAAAATATGATATTAGAACATGCGTCAAAGTGAAATAAAAAGAGAGGAAGGAAGGCAATATTGGAGGGGAATTTTATGGAAAAAAAGAAAAAAACCAAAAAATTAAAGACGTTGGCGGTTGGTCATGACGCGAATAATGCATCCGAGGCCGAATTTCGCGACGAGCTGATGAAAAAAATCAGAATTTAATACAAAAAAATATTGATTCAAAATGACAATTTCGATACTTTTTTTATGAAAAAAATTTAACCTAGAAACCTTCTGGCCGCATTTGGAATGGCTCAAAGCGTTGCGAATCAAACTAAAAAAAGGCGTAAGCCGTTTCTAGTCGGGTGCAGTTTCCTATCGAGCGCTGAGCCATTCCCCGTGCGACCAGCTTATCATAAGTGGGACAAAGTTCATTTTTAAAAAGTAAAAAAATTAAAAAGAAAAAAAATCTAAAAAAATTCTGAAAAAAATATTCAAAAAAACGTTTTTGCACTTTTCTTATCTATTTTTCAAAAGAAATCCAGATTTTCCAACCAAAAATCAAGTAAAATTGGAAATTGCGTTTTTTATCTTCGCTTCAACCTTTTTCCAATTTTCCAAAGAATTAGTTCAATATTTTTTCTATTCGAAACAACAACTGAGAAATAATTTCTTAAAGCTGAATTCGAAGACTTTTGAAACGGGAACTTGAGCTTATTGGTAAAATGTTGAACTATTCAAGCCAGTGGTCCCTAGAGGGGTTAGGGAGGAAAAACAGCCCCTGGAGTGGACAAAAAAGTGCTCCCTAGAGGGGTAAAATTTAAGTGGTCCCTATAGGAGTTTAGGGTCTGTCCCGTAGCTCCCTACAGCTCAAGTGGTCCCTATAGCGGTCTTTTGATTTTTTTTCCCAATTGTTTGAAAGTAAATGGGTCACTAACATGCTCCCTCAAGTGGCCGCTAACTAGAACCCCTAGAGTGGTCACTTGCAAAAATCCCTATAAGGGGAGAAAGTTCTTTTAGGAGTTCTACCTATTTTTAGGGGATGAAACAATGCTCCCTGGAGGGGTAAAGTTCAAGTGGTCCCTATAGGAGTTTAGAGCCTGTCCCTAGAGCTTAAGGGGTCCCTATAGTGGTCTCTTGATTTTTTTTTATGGTTTGAAAGTAAATGGGTCACTAAAATGCTCCCTCAAATGGCCGCAAACTAAAACTCCTAGAGTGGTCACATTTGCAAAAATCCCTATAGGGGGAGAGAGTTCTTTTAGGAGTTCTACCTATCTTTAGGGGATGAAACAATGCTCCCTGGAGGGGTAAAGTTCAAGTGGTCCCTATAGGAGTTTAGAGCCTGTCCCTGAAGCTTAAGTGGTCCCCACAGTGTTCTTCAGATTTTATTTCTTGCATCAAAGTTAAAAAGACGTATAGGGACTATTAGCAGGCACCCCTAGAGTGGCCCCTTTTACTAATTTTAGTGCCCCCTATAAAGAGGTAAGGCCCTAGAGGGGAACCTTCAAGTGCCCTTTAGGGGCCACGCTATCGTTCTGAAAGAGAAAAAGAACCTGAGAATGCCAAGCGAGGAGAGATTGACAAACGGCGGGGTCGGCGAGGATTTCCATGGCCTTGAAGACGTATTTCATCAAAATGTCGCCCTCTTCGATTGACAATCGCTGTAGAACGGAATCATTAGAAAAAATTTAGCTTTAAGAAAAAAAATTGAAAAAAACTTTCAAAATTCCATTTTAAAGGCTCACCGGCTATTTTTTTATAAAATTTTTCAATACGAATGGCCTTTTTTTAGTGTCCTATCAAGCATTGCGAATTTTTTTCCAGCCTTCAAAAAAATCTTTTTGAATGATTTATAGTTAACTTTATAAGCTTTTTCAGTCTTTTTGAAAAAAAGGTTATGAAAAAAACGGCAAAAAAATCGAAAAAAATAAAAAAACGTTCAATTTTTTTCTTGAAAAAGTACATAAAAAAAGTCCGATCTTTTGTTTTTTTATTAGTAATTATCATGATATAATTTTTCAACCTGAACCGCCGCTTCGATTTCCGATGATTTGAAGGCTTGGAGAACCTTGGCCACAAGTTGTGTGCTTTTGTCTTTCATGGCCTTAAAAGTTCTATTATGAAAAAATGTCATTAATTTTTTCAAACCTGATTTTTAGTTTTGAAAGGTGGCGATAGAAGAGAAGCTTGCAAAGCTTCGAGATTCCTATTCGTGTTGAGCATGGAGACGACGGCGCGTTCATCGGGACCCAATCCCGGTGTTTCAGTCCCTAAAATGTTATATTATTATCTTGAAAAAAACTTCAAAAATAACCTTCTTCGTTCTCATCATACTTCTCCGGGTCGAACGCGTCGACGTCTATCTTTCGGTACGCCGTATTCTGCATATTCTTCGCCATGGTTACCTTCAAACAAATCGAATACAAACGCAGAAAAAAAAAAATGACTCAATAAAAAACAGCAGCATTTTCACGATTTCAGCGAGAAAAACTAACGAAATCGTCCTCGATCAACACAATGAACACCCCTTCACAACTCAGTTCACTCAGAAAGTACGATCAATACGAGAAAATGGCAAGAAAAGGGAAATGATTCAAAACGCCGCCGCGAAAGATTAACAAACAACCTCGCGTAGGGTCTGGTGTTTCGCTGCACACACAGCTCCGCGAAAATGCATAATGTGTGAAAAAAATTGTTCCGAATTCAAAAAACTCAGCTGATCTCGTTTTCTTTCTCGTTTCAACACGTTCCCGAGTTTCTCATGTGAGTTTTCTATTTATAGAACGTTTAGCGGGGGCGAATCTGTTCTTTTCGTGCTGCTCGTAATAATTTTATGTTATAAATTCGTCAATTTTGACACATTCGAATGTTTTGCGTTTCCTAATGGGTTTTATAATGTTTCCTTTTTTTATTTTATTAAATGTTTAGAAAATGTTCTAAATAGCTGATAACAGTGTCCGAAACTTGATTGAGTTGTGAAATTTTCATTGAAGTCTGAACAAATACCCTAGTTTATAATGTTTGGACTTAAATTTTTTTAATAAAATGTTCGTTTATTGCTTTATTATTCTTAATATGAACTTATACTCAATTAGAAAAAAAGTATTTTTTTGATGTTTTTTTATGACTTAAATTTTTTTGTAATTTCTGTTTCAATGAGCATTTTGACTCATGCAAATAAACTTGCCTTTGCTATGTGAGAAAATATTTTTTTCTTTCCCAATTTTTTTGAGTTTTAAGGTAATTGAATATCCAGTTTTATCTTTTTGGGGTTTAAGATTGAATAAGAAAATGAATAAACGAAAAAAATCGTCGAGACAATTCATGAAAAAAATGGTATTTTTCCAACGTATTTTTCTGCTTTTTTTGGACTTAAAAATAAATTTTTCATTCTTTTTTTCTGGGTTTTTTTCAATCCAAGAAGTTTTTTTCTTGGCTGAAAATATCACTAGCAAGGTATTTTCGTCTCGAGACCTTTACCGAAAATTCCCATGCTCCTTTAAAAACTTCACAAAATTTTTTCACATGAGCCGTAGCAGTACACAGTTTTAACATTCAAAAAAATAAATTTCTTCAGTTAAACACTAAGAAAAAAATAGATTTTTTTGATGAGAAATTCTTCAGGAACAAGGCCGGAAGTAGCCGTCCAGGGCTTCTGGAGCAGACCTGGTACTGGGGCGACGTCGACAAGTCCACAGTTTCCAAGGCTCTTGTAGATCAGCCGGATGGGGCTTTCATTGTCAGAAATGCCTCGACCCCGGGGGATTTCACCCTGAGTGTGAAGTTAGTACTTCGACTGTTGACTTGAAGAAAAAAAAAGGTTTTTATCATAGATAAGTGGACTAAAAGGTAGGAAATTTTTAAAGCAGTTCGAAAAAAAGTACTTTCAAATTTTTCGGAACTTTTTCTCTCGAAATTTCAAACTAAAACCCCTAGAGTGGCCACTTTTGCAAAAATCTCTATAGTGAGAGGGAGCTGTATCTTCAGGTATCTGTAGGGGATGAAATAATGCCCCCTGTAGGGGTAAAAATTAAGTGGTCCCTATAGGAGTTTAGAGCCTGTTCCTGAAGCTTAAGTGGTCCCTATAGTGGTCTACTGATTTTTGTTCTTGCTTCGAATTTAAAAAGACGTATAGGGACCACTTACAGGCTCCCCTAGAGTGGCCCCTTTTAATAAATTTTAGTGCCCTCTATAGGGTGTTAAGGCGGTCCCTAGAGGGGAACCTTCTAAAGCCCTCTAGGGGCCACTCTAACGTTCTGAATGTAAAAAATTTGAGAAAAAGCACCTGAGAATGCCAAGCGAGAAGAGATTGACAAACGGCGGGGTCGGCGAGGATTTCCATGGCCTTTTTTTCAGTTACTAGGGAACGTTTTTTAATGAAAAAAATATATCTTCTTCAAGACAAGGGTGTCTTCTATGAAAAATTGTTTAAGAAAACAAAAAACACACATTGATAATAAAGAAAACACAAATAGACGCTATCCCAATCGAAACCTGTGTAAAATCATCATTTTTCACCAGAAAAGCTTTTTTGCGATCAAAGTTTGCAAATTATACATGAATAGAAAGCTTTTTGTGACGAAAAGAACTTTGGTGACAACAGAAAAAATCAAAAATTAAAAGAAACGAAGAAAAAAGCGAAAATCCGAAAAATGGCGAAGCCTGTTGTCCATAGAGCGACTTTACTGCAAAACCCGAAGAAAGGTGCTCCAAAATGGTGCTTTTTCCCATAATTTTCGTTTTCTACAAACTTTGCATGGCCTGGCTTTTTTTCAAAAATGAGGCCCGGCCTGAAAAAACAAATGTAGCTCCATAACTTGACAGGTTCCAAGGCCAAGTAAAGCTCGTCAAAATCCACGTTCGGGGCGGAAAATGCGGATTTTCCACGGACGCCTTGATTCACGACAGCATCGTCGCACTGGTCGACTATCATCGGACCTGTTCTCTTCAGGTAAAAATCATCGGAAGATGAGAAAAAAAATTTTCCAGGTCTACAACGACCTCCTGGACATCGCCCTGCTGTACCCGGTCAGCATGCGTCGGAACTCGCATTCGAGTCGGGCCAATATTCGGAAAGCCTCGATCGTCATGAGCAAGGCCTCCGTTTTCCATTCGGCCAAGACTCCGGCCGGTGATTTTTTGAATAAATTGCCTTCTGTTCTCTCTGCACCCTCTCTTGTCACGTGTTGTTTTCCTGTTTCTCTAACTTAGGAACTCCAGAGTGGTCCCTAGAGGGATCTTGTAGGTAACCCTTAAGGAACCACTTTACCTCCTTCTACAGGAACCACTGAAGCTTGCAAAAGTGGCCCCTTTAGGGAACTATTAATCCTAACCTAAGAACGCCAGTGTGGCCCCTAGAGGGGCGATATTGAAGAAACTCTGCACCCTCTCTTGTTTACATGTTGTTCTCCTGTTTCTCTGGTCTAGAAATGCCAGAGTGACCCCTAGAGGGTCCTTGTAGATCCCCCTTAAGGGACCCTTTTACTTCCTCCTACATGGGAAACTGTAGCTTGCAAAAGTGGCTCCTATAGGCAACTATAAATCCTAACCTAAAAACGCCAGAGTGGTCCCTAGAGGGGCGAATTCGAGGGGCCTTGTAGGTCCCCCTTAAGAGACTACCTAACCACCCCCCACAGGGGACATTTAAGCTTGCAAAAGTGGCCACTATAGGGAACTAATAATCCCAGTACGTCCTCTTTTCCAAAAGTTAAAAAACCATCTAGGGGTCACTCAACCTTTAGGGACTCTAAACCCCTATAGGGACAATAAGGAGAAAGATAAGAGGATTTTGGAGGGTCAGAGATATTTTTAATTTTCGCGCAACTTACTTGGAACACGGCTTTTGTTTGAATTTTTCTGCCGATATTCCGAAAATAAGCTTATTTTGAAGACTGGGAAGAGCGGCTGGGGCTGGAACGGCTGAGGATTGCTCAGACTTGCTCAGATCGGGCCGCCCGTCTCTTCGACAACGCCCATTCGGAGCTGGGCAGGGCTGAGCAGCTTCACAAAAGCGTCGCCAATGTGGTCAGTTTTGAAAAAATGAAAATGCGTGTGATAGCTCAGATAAGGTATAGCTCATTTTTGTGACTCTCCTCATCTATCGACGCCCCTCTCATGTATCCTTGCTATTTTCATGTCCCTATGACCTCTTAGGCGAGAGATAAGAGAGCGCAGACAAGTCTGAATAGCTCGATTCTTGGGAATGAACTTTTTTGAAATGTCTATTTTTGTCAAAAGTTTCGGAACAAAATGAAATGCCCTAATTTCTCTGCACCCTCTTATTTTAATAGGGTCTATGACTCCTATTGGTGAGAGAAAAGAGAGCCCAGACAGGTCAGACATTTTAAATTTTGGGTGGGGGGTGATAGCTCATTTTTGTGACTCTCCTCATCTATCAACGTCTCTATCATGTATCCGTGCTATTTTCGTGTTCCTATGACCTCGCAGGTGAGAGATAAGAGAGCGCAGACAGGTTAGAAAAGCTGAATTTTTGGGGAATGATTTTTTTTTAATGTCCTTTTTTCGTCGAATTCCCCGGAACAAAATGAAATGTCCTAATTTCTCTGCACCCTCTTATTTTAATAGGGTCTATGACTCCTTTTGGTGAGAGAAAAGAGAGCGCAGACAGGTTAGAATAACTCTGGTTCTCGAATCTTTAACGAAAAGAAAGAGTAATGATGTATTTATACGAGCCAGCTGAAACTTATTTCTCAAAGGTTTGTTTTTCAACTTGAAAAGGTTCATTTTAAATATTTTAATGGAGAAAAATGTTCTCTAGGGCACTAAGAAAGATCCTGTATAAGTTAAGCTTTCTCTAGATTTTCTAAAATTTATAAACTTCCCATTCTGACGATTTTTCCTAGCTTCCAAGTCCAAAAATTCCAGATAATCGATCTGGAAAGGAAGATGGAGGGCTTGCGGGAAGTGATCCAAGTGCAGGACGACTTGATTTCTTCCCACCATCCCGATGGGCCCAAGGAGAAATGGGTCCAGTGCATGTCCAGCAATAAAACGGTTCGTTTCTTCCAGAGTGGTCCCTAGAGGGATTCGGGTCGAAAAAAGTGGGCCCTTTAGGGGTCAAATTAAGCTGGTCTCTAGAGTGGTTGAGGAAAAAAAAACCCCCACGGGGATCGAAAAAGTGGTCCCTTTAGGGGTTTAGGTCCTGTCCCCTTAGCCCCTAAATTTCTCAAGTGGACCCTAGAGGGGTTAGGAGAAAAACGACCTCTATAAGGGCCGAAAAAGTGGTTTCTATAGGATAATATTAAGGTGGTCCCTATAGGGGTTTAGGTCCTGTCCCCTTCGCCCCTAAAGCTCAAGTGGTCTCTATAGGGGTTAGGGGAAAACGACCTCTATAAGGGCCGAAAAAGCGGTCCCTTTAGGGGTCAAATTAAGGTGGTCCCTAGAGGGGTTTAGGTCCTGGCCCCTAAAGCTCAAGTGGTGCCTATAGGGGTCTCTTGAAATCATTCAAAAAACGGTTATTTATTCCGTTTTTCCCATGGAAATGCTTCCTCACTAGAGTTCATAACAATCATCGACTAGTACGTACCCTATAGGGACCACTTTTGCAAGCTTTAGTGGCCCCTAGAAGGGGCCCTCCAAGAGCCCCTATAGGGACCACTCTGGAGCTCCTAAATTTGCTTTTTTATTGAACTCTGAAGTGGAACTGTTGATTTTTACGTTGCTTTTCATTTTTTGAACCATTTTCTCAAGTTTTCAGCTGCTCGAAGGGAGTATCAAGCGGATGGACGCGGAAAGGGATGCCAACGCAAAAACAAAAGTCAAGTTGGCGACGGTTATGGACGAAATGCGCATGGAACTGAGGATCGCCAAAGTAATAACTTCTTATTTTTTCGAAAAACCTCAGAAAAGATTCAAAAAGTTTTCTGAAATCCAACATTTTGATCGAGAAAAACTAGTGACCTCTTTTCAACGGCCAGAATCAATTGAATTGGGAATTAATTCTTGAAAAAAAAATCCGAACTGAATTTTTATGAAGAACGCTGCTTGAACCGAAAATTTGAACTGAATGGGGAACTTTTTTTCAAATGAAAATATTATTTTTATTGCGCTAGAAACTCTCAAAAAAAGCTCCTGTATTCTGAAGAGTTTCAAGTTTAGTAGTAGAAACTCACAAAAATCGGAAAGTTCATGCGTTTGAAATAGCTTCGCAATTTTTGAGCATTTATGTATCCTTTTTTTAGTTATACTTGGGCAAAGTTGGAATGGTGGATAATGGTCGCTAAAAGGCTCAAAAAAGGCACCAAAAAGGGTCCCTTTATCGAGCCTTCCAACTTTTCTGGGATTTTAAAGGCTCAAGAAATGGTGGAAAGAGGGAGAGGCAGCAAAAATGGTGCATAAAAGCCGATGAAATGGACCAAAAAGGCAGCAAAAAGGGAACCTTTCTATGGAATTTTTTTCGACCCTTCCCGACTTTGCCTATGTATAGTCTGTGTGCCACAACTTGTAATTTCCCCGAACGACATTCCGCTGTTCCGCTGCGTGCGGTCGCGAAGCGTCTTTCGAATCAAGGTCACGCTTTCAATTGATTGTTATTGCTGTGGGAGCACATGAAAGAAGAGTACCTTAATAAAAGAAAAAAAAAATTAAAAGCACGACCAAGGTTCGCAAAGGCGCGCAGCGGCACAGCGGAATGTCGTTTGGTGAAATTTCAAGTCATGGTACACAGCCTATATGCAGAAAAAACTTAATTTCGATCCGAAAAAAAGTTAAAATGGAACATTTAAGTTCAAGACTGTAATTTTTACGATATTTACAACCAAACTTTTAGATGTTTCCCCATTTTCATGATTTTTAAAAATTCCTGTTAGTAAAATGAGCATTCTAGAAGCGTTTGATGCGTTTCTACGACATCCGCAACAGAACCTACGCGGATTTGGTGAAACAAGGCGTGACCGCCCTGAAATTGGACGCCACGGCCGATTCCACAGCCGAAATGGTCATGGGCGAACCGATGCAGGTTGAAAAAAAGATCCAATAAAAAAATATTTAAAATTATTTTTTTCAGGTCAGCATTCTCCTAGCCGATCTGCCGTTGAGATGGGATCCTGCCCAGTGAGTTTTAGGAAAAAAGGGGTACCTGGGGACGCTGGAGTGGTCACTAGAGGGGCTCTTATAGTTCCTCCCTTAAGGGGCCACTTTACCAACCCCTAAAGGGGACATTAAAGCTTGAAAAAGTGGCCACTCTAGGGGGCATGCTGTTGATCACTCTAGTTACGAATCAGAAAAAAAAAAATTAAAGACCACTTTAGGGACCACTTAAGTTTCAGGAGCCCAGGAATCAGACCCTAAAATCCTAAAGGGACCACTTATATGTTAGCCCTACAGGGGTCATTAAACTTTATGAAAGTTTAGGAACGTCAGAGGAGTCACTAAAGGGGAAATAAAGGAGCTCTTGAAGGTCCTCCCTCAAAGGACCACTTAACCTTGCCTGTAGGGGCACTGAAGCTTTCAAAAGTGGCCACTTTAGGGGGGCATTTTAGGGATTCTTTTTGGGAAGAGAAAAAGTTAAAAGACCGCTGTAGACGTCACTTGATCTTGTGGGGCTGAACCCCTATAAGGGCCACTCAGATTTCAACCCTCTAGGGAGCACTATTTGGTCCTATGCAGGCATGAAAGCCTTCTTAACCACCCCCCTCTAAGTAGCGCTAAAACTTGCAAAAGCGGCCCCTTTAGGGTTTAGGTAATGGCCACTTGAGGGAGTATGTTAGTGACTCATGCAATATCAAACCAGAACAAAAACTTGAAAGACCACTATAGGGTCCACTTGAGCTTGAGAGGCTCATTGGCCAGACCATAAATCCCTATAGGTATCACTATTTTGTCCAATATAGACAGTGAGACCGCAATGAAGCCCTTTACCTTCCCCTACAGGGGTCACTATAGTTTGCAAAAGTGGTCATTCTAGGGGTTGTAGGTACGGCTACAGACCACAGACCACTATAGGGCCCACTTGAGCTTGAGAGGCTTAGGAGTCGGACTCTGAACTGCTATAGGGACCACCTAAATTTTAGTCCTGTGAGGGCTTTTTTTCTTCCTGATCCCTATAGTGACCACTCTGGAGCTCTTGAACTAAATTGATGTACTGGAATGAATAAATCGATACAGTGAGATATATGATAAATAACATTATATGTACCCTGAAAACTCAGATTTTTCACAGATACTTGGTAAATAATCCGTCGAAAGAAGCGGCGGCGGCCCAAGTGTTCCAAGCTCGCGCCCGACTTCAACAAGCCGACTTGAACTCGGGAATCCAGCGGGCGCCCGTCGATGGCGTCTTCTTGATCCGGCCTTCCGCTTCTCAGGTTTTGGAAGGAACAATGCGGAAAAGATGTTTAAAAATAAGGAAAAGCTTGAAATAAATGGACTATGAATGGCTTATTCGAAAAATAAAGTTCTTAAAAGTTTCAGAAGCAGTTTTTAGTTATAACTTTCTTGATAATAGTGAAAAAAATTTCAAAATTAAAAAAAAAGTGTTTTTGAAAAATTTTTAAAGGACAATAGTTGTCTCAAAAGTGTACAAAATAACCATTTTTTTAACGTATTTTTTTGTCGAAATTTCGTAAAAATTTCAACTCGAAGCTTTTTAAGAATAGATTTTTTTAAGCATATAAAAAAAGTTGAGACTAAAAAAAGAAGAAATATAACAAAAAAATCAGAAAAATTTTTAAACTTTGTCGTTTCTTCACACGGACCGCTTTGCATACTAAAAAAATAAAAAAAGTAAGATTTTTTTAAATTTTTAACTCCGAAATTTTTTTAAGGACAGTTTTAAAGATTTGAAGATAAAATGGTGACCAAAAAGAATTAGAAAATTAGAAAATTTTTCATTTTCTTCGCGTCTTAACACGGACCGCTTTGCATACTAAAAAGTCAAAAAAATAAGGTTTTTTTAAATTTGAACCGATTTCAGTCCCATAAATTGGTTCTAACGGTTCTCCACGGCGATCGCGTTTCTCACTGCTTGATCGAACAGACGGATAAGGTAATTTTTTTCTGGATTTTATTTTTTTTTATAAAGCTTTCCATAATGTTCTTTTGAGGTACCCTTTGGAAGGTCCAAAAAGTTTGAATCTCTAAAAATTTCTATTTTTCAAGAAAATATCCCTGAAAAGAATAGGTTAATCATTAGTTGACTTTGAGCCATTTTTTTCTCGGAAAAAGGGACTTTCAGGAAATTTTTCTGTTATTGGCTCACCCAAAATCGGCCACAATGCTCTTTTGAGGTCCCTCTGGAAGGTCCAGAAGGTTTCATTCTCTTAAAATTTCTAGTTTTTCAAGAAAAGATCTCTAAAAAAATCCTATAAAAATTCGTTAAAATCGATCATTTCGCGATTTTAAGGGGTTTTTTCAGGGTCTTTATCTGGTCCTGATGCTCGAAAAATTCCGAATAATTGATCAATTATCGATTTTTCCCTAGTTTCTTTGGAAATTTCCTCAGTTTTTAAGGAATATTCGAATATTAAAACAAAGAAAATGTATTAAAATCCCTATAGGGGCCACTGTTCCAAGCTCAAATGGGAAAATGTTTAGTGGCCACTATAGAGGTTCTCTATTTTTCTTTTTAGTGGCCACTTCATTCAGTATTCCTTCCAGTAACTCTAATAATTTGAATACAAACAGATTGGACCGGTTATGATGATCCATTGACCCCTAAAGTGGCCACTAAAATTTTTGTGCCTCTCAAAAGGGAAGGCAAAGTGGTCCCTAGAGGGGCCGCTTCAAACTTTCAAGGGCCCCTAGAGGGACCTCTGTGGTGTTCCTAAAAAGAGTATACTATCAATTTATCACAACTCAAAAATCATGACTAGATAGAAAAAATCGATTCTCCAGGGCTGGGGTTTCGAACACGGCGGGCTGTACTTCCTGACAATCGGCGACTTTGTCCGCTACTACGCCCACCGGTCCCTCGAGGAACACAACCGGGAGATCCGGACGATCCTGACCATGCCCGCCATCCCGATGTCCGTCGCGAAACGGTCGCCGTCTGCCGGAGACTCGCCGCCGCCGACGTCCTCCCGGTCGTCTTCCGACTGCGGCACGATGATCGCCACGTCTTCTGCTTCCTCCTCGGCCCGGGGCTCTCCCAGAATCCCCGTCAGAATGGATTTCAATGGCGTCAATTGATTTGAGGAACTTTAAAACTGAACTCTTGGGTTTTTGAATCTTCTGTAGCTTGGAAATGACTGATTTCTCGGAACGAAGGCTCCAAAAAACGAGATTTTGGCTTTTTTGGAGCTTCAAATCAGTTTTCATGTTTTTGAACGGTGTCAATTGATTGAGGGGCTTTATAAATTTGCCTTTTTAAAATTTTTGAATTTTCTGTAGCTTGGAAATGACTGATCTCTTGGAGAGAAGGTTTCAAAAAAAGGAGATTTTTGGCTTTTTGAAGCTTCAAATGAGTTTTCCCGTTTTTTAACGGTGTCAGTTGATTTAGAAGCTTAAAAAAATCGGAATTCATTAATTTTTAAATCTTTTTTTGAAGCTAGAAAAATAAACGATTTTTGAAGTGACAAATTTTTCAAAAAAAGACGGCATTCCCACATTTTTTTGAAGGTTTGAAAGTTTCAAAACGAAGAAATTGAATAAAGAAAAACCGAAAAAAATATTGATTTTTTTGAGCTTCGGAGCTGTGTAAATCTCATAAATAACTGTTTCCATGATGCACAAACACCAAATCAAGTTTTTGACCTTTTATGAAGCTCTAAGATCATTTCTCATGCTTTCCGATTAGGAAAATCGATTGAAGAACATAAAAAAAATTCATTTTTCGATTTTTGATTTTTACCATGAAGGATTCCAGAAAACTATGTTTTGCCCTTTTTTGGATCTTTAAAATGCTTTTGATGACTTAATTTTTGGGAATACGTATCATGGGGCATTAGAATCTGGAATTTCTTGAGTTTTTGAATCAGTCTGGAAATTATTTAGAAGAGACGGGGTTCAAGAAAACTGGATTTTTCGGCCTTTTTGGATTTTTTTGAGAATTTCTGCCTTTTTCCGCAGTTTTTCATAACTTGAAATATTGAAACCTGATTGTAGGGATTAATTTTTTTGAATTTTTAAAGTTATGTACTTTAAAAAAATATTGATTTTGAAGAAAAAGTGAGCCTTGAGAAATTTTTTTCGGATGTTTTAATGTCCAAAATACACGTTTTTTTAGTGGATTTTTCACAGGAGAATAACTTTAAAAAGATTAAAAATAAAAAAAGCTGAAAAAAATCGGCTTCTAGTCTTTTTAAAATAAAAGTCTCGGATTTACAGATTTTTAATAATTCAATTCTGACCTTTTTTTCCCAAAAAAATTGAACCTTGGAACTTTTTTTCTTCACTCTTTGTGTCAATTTTTGATTAAAATCACATCTTATCAGTTCCTTCTTATCTTCGAAAAAAAGACAAATTTTTTTAATTCCGTCCTTTGTCTTTGATTTCTGGGTTTGTCGCATAATTAAGCTTTAAAATTGTTTTTTTCCGAAGCTTTAGTAGTGAAATTTCGGACTCTGTTTCGTTAAAATTTTCGATGATTTTTTTCATCTTTTTAAAATAGAAAAAAATCGAACTTGAAATGCATTTTTTTAGGCCTTGAAGTCTTCTTATGACCCTTTTATCTGTGAAAAATCATTTTTACTTTCTAATTTTCCTCCCCCTGCCATAATACGCTTTACCAAGGAGCTATTAATCACATTTTTCTCACTGTTTTCTGATTTTCGCCCTGTTTTTCGGGTTCCTAAACACTATTCGGTATCGAATTTTTGAGCATATCCTCATTTGCCTTTTTATATGAATTTTTAATTTATGTAACACGTTTTCCTGTTCAAATGTCTTGTACTTGGTGCTTCTATGACGATTTTCTCGAATAAAATTTTTTGAATGGGAGATTTCTGGCTTTTCGGTTTTTCCGTGTATTTATTTTGTGTATGGGAAGCTTTTTTTTTAGTTTTATTTTGATGGGATTTTTCGTATAAAAAGCTGTTTTTTTGAAGGGATTCTCGAAAATCGTATGTTTTTTTCTTGATTTTTTTAATTTTTTTCTTTTTGCACCGGGTGTTCCAGAAAAAAATCTTCAAAGTCGAAGTTACTATTCATTTTTTTAATTTTTCAAATCTTTAAATTTTTCTTGAACTATATTTTTCAACGTTCTCCTTCTTCTCCATTTACCGATGTTTCTTTATAAAAAAATTTTTATTGAGACCTTAGAAAGTCCAAAAAAATATTTCCATCAGAAGATGAACAGTTTTAGCCATACTTTCTCAGAATTTTTGGAAGTTTCCAATGGTATGAAAAAAAAAGCCAGAGAAATTTCAAAAGGCGACTTTTCCGATTTTTTCGTATCGCTAGGGAACTTTCCGACTTTTTTTCCCTTATATTTTTTTCGGTTTATAAAACATCATTTAACATTTTTTTCCCTATTTCTTTGTGTTTTAATCATGAACCAACTACCTACTTTATATAGGACGATTTAAAACGAAGAGTTTAACGAGAAACAAAGTCTGAAAAAAATTCGGCGGAAAGTTCCTTAGTGATATGAAAAAATCGGAAAAGTCGCCGTTTGAATTTTCGCTGGTCTTTTTTTCATACCACCAAGTTTTCCTTATCAGAAAGTGCTATAGCCCTCCTTTTAGGGTCTTTCTTAACGCTTTCCAAGATTTTCAAGGATGGGAAGAAGTCTACAAGAATTCTGGGAGACGGTGAAGCGGAAAGTGAGCGGCAACGACTCGACGGCCACTTACGAACCGATCCGCGTCGATTCCGAACCCGAAAACAGCGAATATGGGGCTTTTGAGAGCCCTTCTACCAGGTTTGGATTCATTAAATAGGAAAAAAATACAATTTATTTTGATATCCTTTAAAAAGAAAAAAATTAATATCATCAACCAGAAAATCAGTGGCTTTTTCGAAACGTTCCAAAATGTTGTAAATCGATTTATTTTTTTCACTTTTTTTAAAGGAACTTTGGCTTTTTAGCCATTCTTTTTCTTAAAACTTATTTTTCTTCCCAGTAACTCTTGAATTTAAAAATATTCGACATTAAAACTGCTCATTTTTTTATATTCAAAAAAACATTTTTCTAACTTTTTTTGTCGCCTTATAAGATTAGGGTTTTTTTATCGAATTTTGGTCTTCTTTTTTTTTGGAATCTTCTATAACCTTATACATTTTTTTATCAGCTTTAAAAGGATCTTTCGGATAAAAAAATCCATAGAAATGTGCTAGGGAGTTTTTTTAAAAGGTCCTTTTTGGTATTTTTGGACTTTGCCTGCGGAAAAAGATTTTTTTAAATAAAAATCCGGGGTTTGAAGCTTTTTTCTGTATATTTCTGTTAAAACTGTTCTTGCTGATGAAGTTTGCACCACAAAAAATTAAAATAAACATATTTTCCAGCACCAGAAGCCCCACACAAGGATACACAGAACTGATGGGCGGCAGTGTTCCCTGTCCGTCTTGCAAAGGTTCTGGACGTATTCCCAAAGGTAGAACAGATTTTTCGGATTTATCTGGAGCTCAATTTCGAAAAGTTGTTGATAATTTTCCCTGTTTTGAAAGATGGAAGAAGGTTGGCGCTTGAAAAATCGAACAAAAACGATTAAAAGAATAAAATGGATAGGAAGATTTAAATTCTGATAAATTTCGATTTTTTTGGCTTGGTTTTCAGAATTTAGCGATCATTTTCACTTTTATTGAATCGTAGGAAAAATTAATGGTGTTTTAAATATAGAAGAATGAGAAAACTTTTGGAAAAGCCTAATTTTCGATAAATTTTTGAATAAACGGCAATTTTATTTTTTTTGGCTCGTTTCCAGACTTTACTGATAATTTTTAGAAATGGAAGAAACATTGGTGGCGTTGATACCATTCGACGACGAAAGATTGAAACCCAAAAGGACTTTTTATTTATGTTCTCATTGGGATCGCGGTTCGTTTTTTTGGGGTTTTTATAAGTTTATATCATTTGGAAATTATTAAAAAGCCTTCCGAAGACCATAAAAAAAGAATAAAAAAATCGTTTATTTTTTTCGAATAAGTAATCCTTTTTTTCGCACTTTTTTTCAAGAATAAGTATCTTTTTGAGCTTTTTTTCCTAAAAAAAGATTATTTTGAAAGTTGTTTTTTTAAAAATTTTTTTCTCATCATTTTTGTGTTAAATTCAGGGGTCTATATGGTGTTTCTTCCTTTAAAATATTCAAAAAAATGAACTATGAAATTTTTGGGTTTTTTTCTTGACTCTGTTGCGTATAATAGCCCTTCTTTTTTTGTGTTCCTTTTTATTAAAATTTTTTTAATATTCCGAAAAAAACGCTTTTTGAAGGCTTTTTCTTTTTATATTTTACGACACTCTTTTTGTGTATACAAGTCTTCTTTCTTCTACTTTATCATTTTGAAATTTTTGAAAATGCGATTTTTGAAAGCACTTTTTTTGAAATTCACGTCACTATTTTTGTGTTTAAAAAGTCTTCTATCTTGTATTTTTTTCCGCCTGAATTTTTTTCAAAAATGCCCTTTCAAAGTTTTTTTGAGCCTTTCGAGTACCTTTTCTCTCATAAAGTTGGCGCAAAAAGCGCTTTGAAAGCATTTTTTTGAAATTCACGTCACTCTTTTGTATATGAAAGTCTTCTTTATGTTGTTTCTTTATTTTGAAATTTTGAAAATTCGACTTTAAAAGCATTTTTTTGAAATTCACGTCACTATTTTTGTGTTTAAAAGCCCTCTATCTTGTATTTTTTCGTCTGAAGTTTTCAAAACTGCCTTTTTTTGAATCTTCTCTTTCAAAAATTTGCCCAATTTTCCCCTTCCAGATATGCATTTTTCATCGCCGGCGGGGCGATTTTTCATGTTGGTTCCAAGGGCCGTCGAACTGTCCAGTACGAATTTCGCCATTGATAATGTTAACGTCGAAGGTCACGCGATTCAACCACAGGCCTATATAAAATTCAATTTCATGGTGGGTTTTTTGAAGATTTTTCGATTTTTATCTAGTTTTTTGAGTGAAATCTTTGAATTTACCTTGTTTTTGGATCGAGGAATGTTTAAAGTCTGGTTTTTCGGAATTTGTGAACTTTTCAGAACTATTTGAAGTTTCTAACTAATGAAATAAGGAAAAAAATCGTTTTTGTAATTTTGAATTTTTTAAAAGATTTTTTTCGGGTTTTTTTCATCAATTTTTATGTACTTTTTTGGGTTCAATCTTCAAATTTATTTGATTTTTGATTCAAAGTTTGATTTTTCCAACTCTTACAACTTTTCAGTATTTTTCGGGTTTTTTTCATTAATTTTTACGTAGTTTTTTGGGTGGAATCTTGGAATTTACCATGTTTTTTTAATTCAAGAAATGTGTGTTTAGAGAGAATGTTTAGAGATTGGTTTACTTGAATTTGTGAGCTTTTCAGAACTATTTGAAGCTTCTGACTGATAAAATGAGTGAGAAATTTTTTTGGGATTTTCGATTTTTGAAAATTTTTCGGGTCATTTTTCGACTTTTACGTAGTTTTCCGGGTAGTATCTCCAAGTTTATCTAGATTTTTAAATTAAGGATAATTTAGAGTTTGATTTTTTTCTGAGTTTGGCACTCTTCCATAACTATTTGATGCTTCTAAATGATGAAATATGGGAAACATCTTTTTATGATTTTTGTATTTTTTGAAGATTCTTCAGGTTATCCTTCAATTCATCTAACCTTTTTTCAGAATCACATAAACGTATCCAATGCAAACTACTACAATGTCCAAGTCGTCAATACGACAGCGCAGGTTTTTTTAATTTTACGTTTTTTTATAGGAATTTTTTTATTTTTTTGAAGATTTTTTTCGAAAATTTCCAGCCAGTAAAATTGGATAATTGTTAATTTTTACTTTTTTTAAAAAGAATATTGAATTAGAAAGTTTTTCTATTATTTAACGTTTTTTGAATATTTAGTCGAAAAATAAATGAAAAAGCTATGTTTAATGAGAATATAAAAAAAGCAAAACTGTGAGATCAGGATCTGAAAAAAAGAGTTTAAAAAAATGCCTTGGGATGCTTTTATTTGGCCTAGAACCCATTTAGAAATATTTTCCGAGAATAAATTCGGTGATATGAAAAAAAAGACCAACGAAAATTCAAACGGAAACTTTACCGATTTTTTCATATCACTAAGGAACTTTCCGACGAATCTTTTTCAGACTTTGTTTCTCGTTAAACTCTTCGTTTCAAATCTTCCTATATAAAGTAGGTAGTTGGTTCATGATTAAAACACAAAGAAATAGGGAAAAAATGTTAAATGATGTTTTATAAACCGAAAAATATAAGGGAAAAAGTCGTAAAGTTCCTTAGCGATATGAAAAATCGGAAAATTCGCCTTTTGAAATTTCGCTGTCTTTTTTTCATACCATCATAAATTCCTCTCCAGATTGTCTCGAAATTCACGCCGCGGGAACACGACACAGTTGGAATGGGCTTCAACTCAACGCACATGACGATTTCGCCGCTGAGCCTCTCCGAAAACAACATGATTCTGTTCAACAGCACAGTCACGTTGACTGATATTGCTGCGTCAGTTCATTTTATTAATTTTTAGGTATAGAAGCTGCAGAGCGGTCCCTATAGGGGTTACCTGAGAGGCCCTTGAAGATTTCCATCTAGGGACCCCCTTATAGGGGCACTAAGGCTTGCAAAAGTGGTCCCTATAGGGGTTTTAGTTATTGGAGAGCATAGTAGTTGATTATTTTTAAAAAAAAATCAGAACAAAAAAAATTAAAAGAGCGCATAAATTTTAGCGGGCTTTGTTTCTCCCTAACCCCTGTAATGACAACTCTGGCGTTCATAAAACGATTTGATAAACTGTTATATAAATCATAAGAATCATAAACAGACCCTGAACTCCTGCAGAGAAAACCATAGTTTTGCCCCTGTAGGGATCGCTTTTTTGACCCCTATAGGGGCCACTAAATCTTGTTTCGTCCCTTCTAACTTTTGAAGAAAGGAAAATGGTTAAAAGTGTCAGAAAAAGCGATTTGTCAGCATTCGACTCTTTTGGCTGACCTAAAGAATTCCTAAGGGTATCCTATAGGGTTTCGCTATTTTAAGGACCACTTTAGGGATCCCTACGACAGCGTCCTCGACGTTTTTCTGATAATAAAGATTGAGAAATCTGCTAAAGTCAAAGTAGAATAACTCACCAGGGAACGTTTTTTTACCCCCCCGTTGAACTTTTGCTGAAACTTTGCTTAAGTGTACTTTAGGACCTCCTGATTCCAGAACAAGAAAAAAATTTCTCGCAATAGATCTCGTTTTCGAGTTTTGGAGCTTCAAAGTGTGCAAAATACGCAAATTAGGCCAAAAAAGCGCTATTTCGGGCTTTTGAAGTGTCCTAACTCGAAAACTAATCTATTGCGAGAAATTATTTTCTTGTTCTGGAATCAGGAGGTCCTAAAGTACACTTAAGCAAAGTTTCAGCAAAAGTTCAACCGGGGGGTAAAAAACGTTCCCTAGTCAGAAATTTGCCAAATTTGCTAATAAACCGATTTATTTTTTTTGATAACTACGCTATGGAAAATAAACCAAGAATCGAATTTTTCAGCAGAAAGAAATTCGTAATTTTGAAGTATTGAAAATTTTTCTTATCGATTTTTTTCCAGAGAATACTGCCAACAATCGTATTCGCGACTGACGGCGCTGTACGTCAACATGCAGTTCGACATCGTCGTCTCCTTTTTGTATTTCAATCACAGGGAACAGGTAAAAAATGCCCTTTTCCGACATATTTCTATGCGTTTGAAAGGAAAACAGATCATAAACGAAAAAATAGGACCATTTCGCTCCATTTGGTATCAATTTTCTTTTTCAAATAACCTGAAATGCTTCAATTGAAAGAAAATATATATTCGTGTCTTTTTTTAAGTTCATTTTATAGCCCTCCGAACGAAACTTTCAAAAATTTTTTCTTCTTTTCAAGAAATCTTGACTATTTTAGGTTCTAATCTCTTTGAGAGGATGAAAAATTCTAATTTCGAAGCGTTTTTGCTGAGTTTCAAGTCATTTCGATCGTTTCAGCTGTTAAAAAAATGCTATGAAAAATTCAATTTCGAGTTTTTCTGAAAATTTAAATTTTGAACTTGTTAGAGCTCCAAAATCGCTTCAAAAAAAGGGCGTAATATTCCGATTTTTGAAGCGTTTTTTTGCGAAATTTTTGAGTCGTTTTGATCGTTTCAGCTGTTAAAAATGCTAAGAAAATTCAATTTCGAGTTCGAAATATCTCTACTTCTTTTTTTAAGTTTTGAACAGTTTGGAGCTTCAAGGGATCAGTTGAGGAAAAAATGTCCAATTTCGCTGAAATTTGTGTTGTTTTTGACTAGTTCAGCTGTTAAAAATGCTATGAAAAATTTCAATTGCGAGCTTTTTCTGAAAAATTTAAATTTTGAACTTGTTAGAGCTCCAAAATCGCTTCAAAAACGGCATAATTTTCCGATTTTGAAGTGTTTTTGTTGAATTTTGAGACATTTTGCTCGTTTCAGCTGTGAAAAATGCTCTGAAAAAAATCAAATTTCAAATTGTTTTTTTCTCTGAAAATTTGATTTTTGGAGTTTTCAATGCTTTTTCCGTGAAGAAAATGCGATTTTCCAAATTTTCAGGCTTCTTTCACGACGGTGCAGCCGGTTTGCTGCATCCCCACCGGAAATTGTACTTCTACGGCTTGGATTTAACTTGGAAAATATCAGAAATTTTAATATTTTCATGCCTCAATGTGTACTTTTATCCATATACGTGTAGTTTTTGTGGTGATTTTGTCGATTTTTCGAATTTTTTAGTTTCCAAGCTTAGTTTTCAGCTGATTCACCGCTAGTTTCTCTCTGATGACGTCTGGAACCTCCTCTTTTTGCACACTATCTCGCTCAAATTTTGTGATATTTTTTACTTGTATCTGGTCAGATTTATATTGCATTTTTTTCAGTTTCGAATAAATTTTTTCCATTTTTCTCCCTGAAATTTGATTTTCAAAGTGTTGAAGTTCATCGGAATCAGGTGTATTTGATTATATTTTTTGAAATTTGAGTTTTTTTCAGGTTAGGATTTTTTTATTGAGAGAGGAATATTGAATAATCAGATTTTTTTCTAAAAAAAAATAATAAAAAAAATGAAAGTTCGTGGATTTTTTTAACGCTACAACTTCTGAAAAAAATTCAATTTTTATTGTCAATTTTTTTCTGAAGCCAAATAATCATTAAAATTTGATTTTTTTGAAGTAAAAAAATGATTTCGGCAAGTGATTTTTATAAAAGATAAATTTTTTTCAAAAAAATCGAAAAAGAAAAAAATTGAAAAAAATCAGATTTTTTTGGAAAAAAATTCTTAAAAAAAATGGAATTCAGTCGATTTTTTTAATGATACACTTTCTGAAAAAAATTCGGTTTTTTTTGTCAATTTTTGAAGCCAAATAATCATTAAAATTTAATTTTTTTGAAGTAAAAATGATTTCGGCAAGTCATTTAATAAAAAGATGAAGATTTTTGAAAAAAATTAAAAAAATCTCGCAGCTGGTCTTATAATAGATCAAAAGACCAATTTTTTTCTGTCTTTTTCGCCAAAAAAATTTTTTTCATTTTCTTTTTTCGAATTTTTTTATTTAAAAAGGGTTCCCCTTGAAAAGCTGGTAATAGTCCTAATTCCGAAAAAAACCGCAACCTCCGCATTTTTTTCCATTGAAATTCGCTCTTTTTTTCTTGACTTTTCAATTCAAAATTCCCTTACTTTTTAATCTTATTGTGGAATTTTTTTCGATTTTTTTAAATATTATATCGAAAAATTCCCCTTATTTCATATCATTGCCATGAGTTTATCTTGTAAAAATTTTTTATCTGCATTTTTTTTCCATTCAAATCCGAACTTTTCAAAGGTTTTTCGAACAGAAATTTCTAATTTTTACCCTTTTTTAGAATTTTCTGAACATTTGGGAGATTTTTCTGGAAAAATTCATGATTTTGAAGTAATTTTTGAGCGAAAAACTGTCTTTTTTCATTCATTTTCACACTTTTTTTCGATTTGTTATGTCATAATTTTTTCTTATTTTTTTCATCTTCTTGAGGAATTTATCGATTATTTAAAAATTTTTCATCAGCAAAAATTTATTATTTTGAAGTCTATTTTCTTGGGATTTTTCGATGGACCCTTCTGAAAAAGATTCGAACCCCGTTCCAATGGAAGAAGATGCAGGTAAAAAAAAATTTTTTTAATTTTTAATGTAAAAATTGGACTTCAGGTTATTTAAAATTAAATATAATTTGCGGAATAAACGACTTTTGAAAAGAAAAAAAAAATGAATTTTCAATGGATAGCCGACAAAATTTAATGAAAAATTCAACTCTTTTTTTCAATTTTTGAAGTTTTTTTGCGCTCCACTGATGATTTCTCATATAAAGGTTTTTTTCTCTCAAAAAAATCTTTAAGAAAAATTTTTTTACTTTTTTTCGAGTTCTTGTTCATTTTTTTCATTAAGATATCGATTTCGAAAAAAATGTTGAAGTTTCACAATATTTTTTTATTTCCTGAAACTTTAAACTGTTCCAGGAGATGATCAAATAACCTTCGAAGACATTTCTTCGGACGAAGAAATCGAAGAAATTTTCGAGAGCAGTAAAATCGAACAAATCGATAAAGCCAGTATTCATCCGCCCTCTTCGGTCAGTTCAGGGATTTTTCTCCAAAATTTGGAAAATTCTGATTTTAGTATTGTTTGGTAAGTTCTAGAGAACATTATCAAAAATTCAGAATCGGAAAATAATTTTTTTTTGTAGAATTATGTCGCATAAACTCGAAAAAAGTCAATTTTCTCTGCGCTCTCTCATTTTCACGTGCTATTCTTATGTTTTATGACTCTCTAGGGAGGGAAAAGAGAGCGCAGACAGGTCAGACGGTTTTGAAAATGAAAAAAATTCAAGAATCCTGTAAAAAAACCTAAAGAAGTCATTTTTTTGTAGAATTATGTCGCATAAACTCGAAAAAAACCGGTTTTCTCTAATCTCTCTCATTTTTACGTGCTATTCTCATGTTGTATGACCTTCTAGTGGAGGGAAAAGAGAGCGCAGACCGGTCAGACTGTAATAAGAATGAATGGAAATCGAGAAATCCTGTCAAACTCGGTAAAAATAAATCTCAAGAAGTCGTTTTTTTTAGAATTCTCATTGATGAATAGCCGAAATCAGAGCTTCAAGTAGATTTTTTTAAAAAAATCAAATTTTTTTGGTTTTTTTCATATTTCTTAATATCCATCAATTATCTGTTTCATTTCTACGAGAAAAAAAATAATCAAATAAAATTTTTCAGTGGAAATATGTGGCCGACTGGAGCACCAAGGACTTCAAAATGAGCTCGATTTTGGTAAATTTCGAGAAATAAGTAAAAATATCTTCAAAACGGTTTTCTGGAGTACTTTAGGACACCTTTACTCTGAATAAAAAAATCGAGAAAAAAAAAGTTCGGTTCAAAAAGTTATTCACCTATAAATTTCTCTAATATGAGCAATAATGCGCAAATATGAGACGTGATATTTTTTAAAATTGAAGAAGGTTATTTTACACCTTGTGACGAACTTTAGTAGACTTTCGTTGATTTTTTGGCGAGTTATGAAGTTTCAAAGCTCCTTACCCTCAGAAGGGGGTCATTTCACTTGGCGGTTGGGATTTTTTTTTTGAAAATTGGCCAGAACGCTCTTTAACGTATTAGAAAGAGATTCTAGAAGTCTCAACCTGTAAAACTTCCTCGTTTTTGAATAAAGACGCTAAAGTCAAAGAAAACCCTCAAAATCCGTTAAAATGGGCTGTTTTGGGGCTTTAGACCCTTATTTTTCGAGAACTGAGAAGTTGGGAAGGTTGGGATTTTCATGACCTTTTTCTGGTGCATCAAGAAGTGTTCTGGCTAATTTTCCGGAAATCGCAAAGTGAAATGACCTCCCCTGTTGGGAAGTTCTATTTCTCTCAATGTCGCGAAATGATCCTCTTTCTTAAAATGTCGTTTTTTGCTCCCATAGAATGTTTATTGTGTGGGTGGTTTTAATATCTTTTTGGGAAACGTGGAGTTTTTTCGCCCCATAAAAGGGAAGGGGGAAACTTTTTTTTTTGACTTTCGTTGTCTCGATTTTTGTACTGGATAAAATTGGCTTCTTCCTAGTTTGTCAACTGGTTCTTTGACAAACTAAGAAAATTTATCCAGTTCAAAAATCGAGACAACGAAAGTCAAAAAAAAAAGTTTCCCCCTTCCCTTTTATGGGGCGGAAAAACTCCACGTTTCCCAAAAAGATACCAACCACCCACACAATAATTATTCTATGGGAGCAAAAAACGACATTTTAGGAAAGAGCTTTCGCGACACTCAAAAATAAAAATAAAATGGATTTCCAGGACCTCGAAATTCCCTGGGATCGATGGATCCCACCTCGTTACTTCGAGCCCTCCAAAGATGCCGAACTTTTTCGCGCCTGTGTCGAATCGTTCCCAACGCCGGAAAGCATCGGAGAAGCGTTGTTAGTGTGAAAAAAATATGATTTTATGTAGTCCATTCACCGCGGAATGACATTGAGTCTCTGCGTCTCTCTGTTCCCTCACCGGCGAGGTCAGAGGAACATGAAAATAGCACGTAAGCGTGAGAGAGCTGTCGGAGAAAGAGAGAAGAAAAGCAAGCAGTCTAGAGAGCACGGTAAACTTGGAGAGACCAGACTCGTGCTCTCCTCGATCTACACACTGTCTGGCCAACGCCCAGGTCTTTAGACAGTGTGTAGAAGGAGGAGAGTACTGGTCTGGTCTCTCCAAGTTCACCGTGCTCTCTAGACCTTTCTGACGAGAGAACAGAGACGCAGACACTCCAACTTTGCGCCCGACCAAAAGCTACTAGCGCCAGAATGCATTTCCTAGCCTAGGTAACAAGGTCGGGCGCAAACAGAGACCACTTTTGGAAGCTCCAGATGCCCGTATAGGGAGATGGTGAAGTGGTCCCTAGAGGCGAACGTTCAAGGCCCCTATAGGGACCATTCTGGAGTTCTTTAGTTGCTTGATCATTTTTAAGGTCCTCTGAAAAAGAACTAGACTAGAAGTAAAAACTATTCTCAAAAGGGCAAAAAAAAGAGAGATTCATGAGCGTAAGTTCCAGGGAAGACTTCATCGTGACCATCGAAACGCTGCTTCCAAAGCTACAAGATTGTTTGGTTCTTCTCGCGCCGAGGGAATCCCTTGAAAGTGAGTCCGTTTAGAAGAAATGGAAGTTTTGTTTTGCTGAATTTTCCTAAATTGTCTAACAAGGTCGGTTTCTTTTTCAATGACAAGAATGACTCATGGTGCAGCGGCTGTAGAGAGGCCGCTTTCAATTTGCAACCGACTTGTTTGCGCGCAAAGGCATAGCGGATCAGGAGAACCATCCGCAGAGCTTCATTTTTTTGAAAATATTTAGTTTTTTTATCACTAGATCGGTTTTTTTGCGCTTTAAATATAAAATTCAAGACAAAGCGGTTGAAAAAAAGGTTGTTTTTCAATTTGCAACCGACTCAAAACGGTTTGCGAGCAAAGGCATAGCGGATCATGAGAACCATCCGCAAAGCTTCATTTTTTTGAAAATATTTAGTTTTTTTCACTAAATCGGTTTTTTTGCGCTTTGAATATAAAAATTCAAGGCGAAGCGGTTGAAAAAAAGGTCGTTTTCACCTTGCGCCCGACTCAAAACGGTTGACGCCCAAAGGCATAGAAAAACTTAAGAAGCAGCGGCAAACGTCCGTTTTTTGAAAATATTTAATTTTCCCCACTAGGTCTTTTTTTTTGCAATGAGAGAATTGGCCAAACGCGAAGCGACGGTAAAGCGGCAATTTTTAAAGTGCAACCGACTCGAAACGGTTTGCGCCCAAAGGTATTAGGAAACGTTACAGCAAGAAAAACATATGGAGCTTGATGCAGATCATATGCCAGCCGCGACGCTCTGAGCCATTCCAAATGCGACCGAAAGTCTGATTTCTCTGCTCTCTCTTCTCTCTTGGCGATGATGGCCTTCTCGGTGAGAGAGAAGAGAGCGCAGACAGGTCAGACTTTTTCAAAATCGTGATGATTCGACTGTATAACATTCTTAAGATCAAAGTCTTTAGGAAAATGCGAAGAGGAGGAAAATATCGAAAAGTTCCGGGATATGTTGGAAGATTTCGACGTCGTGGCGACCATGCAGATGTGGACCACGTCCTGTCTCAACGACTTCCCTGAAAATCCCAAACTTTTCGAAATCGGCATCAAAATCTTGGATATCATCGCTCCCACCGATTTTTCAGAGAAATTTTTGGTTTGTTGAAAAATATTAGTTTATTCACTGCGATCTTGGGGCAGGAAAAAGGCTACTTTGAGCGTTTTTTGTTAATTTTTGGACTAGGATGGAAAACAGTGTTTCTTTGGTCAATTTTAGAGTTAAAAAAAAAAAAAAAAGAGTTTTCTACTGATAAAATTCACTTGGAAGATCAAAAGAAAAACCCTTTAAAAATGGCAAAAAAAGTAATGGCCTGGAGAGGACTCGAACCAGGGACCTCCTGAATGTCAAATTTCGGGTTTCTAATAGCTTTTTGGCCAATTTTCAAAGTTAAAAAGTGGAAAAAAGGTTTTCATACGGATAAATTTCACTTGAAAGATCAAAGGAGACATTTAAAAATTGGCAAAAAAGAAATGACCTGGAGAGGACTCGAACCCGGGACCTTCTGATCTTCATATTTTGGGTTTCTGGCAGCTTTTTAGTCATTTTTCGAAGTTAAAAAGTGAAAAAAAGGAGTTTCACACTGTTAAAGTTCACTTGAAAGATCAAAGGAAATCTTTGAAAAATGGCAAAAAAAGAACGACCTGGAGAGGACTCGAACCCGCGTCCCTCTGATCTTCATATTTTGGGTTTCTGGCAGCTTTTTGGTCACTTTTACAACTAAAAAGTGAAAAAATTATCTTTCTACTGATTAATTTCACTTGAAAGATTAGAGGAGATATTTAAAAAAATGGCAAAAAAAGAAACGACCTGGAGGGGAGTCGAACCCGGGACCTTCTGGTCCTCAAATTTTGGGGTTCTGACAGCTTTTTTTAGGTCAATTTTTTTATAGTTAAAAAAATGAAAATAAGTTTTTTTACTGATAAAGCTCTCTTGAAAGATCAGAGGAGATTTTTAAAAAATGGCAAAAAAAAAAAATTAAAAAATGGTTAAAAAATGGCTGGGGACTCGAACCCGGGACCTTCTGATCTTCAAATTTGGCTTTCTAGCATTAATATGACATTATTTTTATAAGTTTTTCATTACAAAATAATGTGAATTCTCGCTGTTAGAGCTCCAAAAAAAAAAAAAAAGATTTTTCATAACTTTGTTTAAGAGTTATACTGAATAATCTTAAGCTTTCAGTGAATGGACCATAATTTTTTTTTTTCTCAAACTTTTTTTTTACAGGACAAGGAATTGCTGAAGAATTTTGCGAATAAGGCGTTCGAATCGGAATCTGTCGGTATTCCGGTTTTAAAGGCGTTTTACCGTTTCGTGAGTTTCTTAAGTCATTTGGAGTCTTAGATATTACGTTTCTGTTCGGGAGGTCAAAATTTTAGGAAAATTTCAAAGTTGCCCTCTAGTTTTCACTATAGTATTGATTTTTGTGATTTATTGAATTATTGATTTATCGAATTATTGATTTTTTTCACTTTGAAGTTCTTGCTTCAGAACGTCTGCATTTCTGGGTTTTGGATCATTTCAAAATGCAATTTTTTTGAAGTTGTTAGGGCAAATTTAGGGTCAACCCTTCTATTTGAGCTGAGTTTTTCTCCTCCAGAAAGTTTATTTTATGATATTTGAAGAGATTTTTTTGCCATAAAAGGAGGGGGAAATCAGGAAAAAGCTTGTATTTTTCTACCAGTTTTTTTGAGGCTTTTTTTATTTCAAAACTTATTTCAAAATTTCAAAGATATTTCATAAATTTTTTTCGCAGAAATATATTTTTCTCATACCTTGATACTGTCCAAATTTCATGACGAAATAAAAAAAACTTGAAAAACCATTTATTAGCGATTTTACAATTTTTTTATACTATGAAAAGCTCAAGTGACCTCTTAAGAGGCTCCTCAAGGATTACTTGGAGAGGGCACTAAAGTGACCACTAAAACCACCTCTAGAAACCACATTTTCGCTTCTTAGTGACCACTATAGTAGTTTTTAAGGGTCTACTAGTACCATTTGACTCCTAAAGAAGCCACCAAGTTTTAGCCCCTTAAGTGGCCATTATTTCGATTGCTATAGTGGCCACTAAAACATAAAAACCCTAAAGTGGCCACTCAACTTCTAGTAGCACCACTTAGACTTTTGAAGTGGAAAACGCCATTATTTTGATTGCTATAGTGGCCACTAAAACGTCAAATCCCTAAAGTGGCCACTAAATATTTTCCCTTTTTCAGCTCTCCACGCCGAATCAGAACGTCCGCCGGGTTTTCGCAAAATTGCTTCCAGATATTCTCGATTCTGTGAGAAAGACTAAAGATCCAGAAGACCTTGGAACTAAATCAGTTGTACGTTTTGGACTGGATAATGAACTTAGGAACGCCAGAGTAGTCCCTAGAGGGGCGATCTTAGGAGCCCTTGGAGGTCCCCCTATAGAGACCACTTCGCCTCCGCCTATAGGGGGACCGAAGCTTGCAAAAGGGGTTCCTTTAGGGATTTCAGTTGATGGCCATTCTGGAGGTTTCAGTTAGTGTCCACTCTAGGGGCTTTAATTAGGGTCCACTCTAGGGATAAGCTTGCAAAAGTGGTCATTTTAGGAGTTACTGTTAATCGCCATTCTCGAGCTTCTAAATAGTATCCACTCTAAGGGTTTTAGGTAGTGTCCACTCTAAGAGTTTTGGGTAGGGATCACTCCAGGGGTTTTATTTAGTGAGCACTTTATGGGCTTCAGTTCATGACCATTCTCAAGGTTTTAGTTAGTGGCCTCTAGGGGTTCCAGGTAGTGTCCACCATAGGGGCTTTAATTAGGGTTCACTCTAGGGGCTCTAATGAGGGTCCGCTCTAAGGGCTTTGATTGGGGTCCAATCGAGGGATTTTGTTGATGGCCATTCTTGAGGTTTCAGTAAGTGTCCACTCTAAGGGCTTCAATTAGGGTCCACTATAGGGGTTTCAGGTAGTGTCCTCTCTAGGGACTTGAATTGGGGTCCACTTTAGTGATTTTGTTAATATCCATTCTCGAGGTTTCAGTTAGTGTCCACTCTAGGGAAAAATTTCGGAAACTGGAGTCTCCATAATTTTTCCAATGCATTTTACATCAGCCAAGATTCATCGTAAAATTGGTTTAACTGCAAAAAATCGGAGATATTTTTTTGAAAACTGTTATACAGTACCGCTCAAAAGTCTATTAACTTTTGGTTTTTTGGGGATATCTCAGCGAGTACTTATCCGATTTATATATAACTTTCAGGGATAATGTAAAATATACTTTGAAACATATACGGTATACAAATACATGTCCGCAATCCCTGTGACGCGTTTTTAGGAATTTTTATATTGAATTCCATGTTTTTTTATGCTTTTTATTTTTTTATTTATTTTTTTATTAAATTTTTTTAAAAATTAATAATGTTGCCATATGATTTTTTTCATGTTTTTCAGACATGGGAAGAACCTTTGGAAATAAGAATTTGACTGATAACGACAAAAGAGCCATCGTTGTGGGTCGTCAAAATGGACTGACCATGATGAAGTTGGCAGGAATGTTCGGCGTGACAGAGGCGGGCATTTCTCAGTTCCTAAAGCGTCAGAAAGCTCAAGATGGCTCTACTAACAGCCAACGCACTGGAAGACCACGTGTCACTGATCGTAATGACGATAGGAACATTTTTGAAGACGTCTAGAACCAATGCAAGACTCACCGCCCCCTGCGATCAAACAGGAAGTTTTTCTTGAATTCGCCATCTCCGCCATCCGTCTCGACCGTGAAAACGACGTCTGAATGCTGCTGGAATCATGGGAAGACGTCCAGTGAAGAAACCGCTGATTTCTGAAAAGAATCGAGCCGCCAGGGTGAAGTGGGCGAAGGAGCATCTCAACTGGACCCGTCAAGACTGGAACAAGATTCTGTGGTCCGACGAAAGCAAGTTCCTCCTCTTCGGGAGTGACGGAATTCAGTGAGTTCGTAGACCAATTGGGTCCAGATATCATCCGAAATACCAATTACCCACCGTGAAACATGGTGGAGGTTCTTGCATGGGGTGGGGCGCCTTCTCTGGAAGTGGCATCGGACCGCTTCATCGCGTGAACGGCATCATGGACAAGCACGTCTACAAAGACATTCTCCAGAACCAGATGTTGCCGCACTTGAGAGCCATGGGCCGTGGGAGTGTTTATCAACAGGATAACGATCCCAAGCACACTTCACTGTTCGTCAAGGTGAGAAAAATTGACAAGTAATTCGTATGGTTTTGAAACTCAGGACTGGTTCAAGAGCCGTCGGGTCAATGTCATGGGGTGGCCAAGTCAATCTCCGGACCTGAACCCGATCGAACATCTCTGGGAAGAGTTGGAGCGACGTTGTGCCAACAAAAAGAGCCAAGAATTGCAACGAGAAGTTTGCTCAACTGCTGTCTGAATGGAATCAGATCCCCATGTCTACCATCGACACTTTGCTCAATTCTATGCAGAGAAGATGCCAGGCAGTGATTGACGCCAGGGGCTTCGCAACCAAGTACTAGGTCCCGAATATTGTTTTAACAATGTTTTGTGTTGATAAAAAAATTTTTTTGTTGAGCTATGATTTTTTTAATTGAAAATAGCAAAAAAATTCGATTTTTTTCGAAAATTCGTTTTTTTCTCGAAAAAAATTATTATTCTTTGAGCTAGCAACTTGAAATTTTTGCCAGAACACGTATGTCTCTCTCAGAAAACTATGAAAAAAAATTTGAATCGATATCGCACTTCAAAAAAAATTTATCCCCAAAAAACCAAAACTTAATAGACTTTTGAGCGGTACGGTATCTATAATGTATGATTCGATGCGTTGGATCTTTTGATTTTGAAGTTTTTTTTTTGATTGTGTTTTTCAAAACTGAAAAAGATCGGATAGAAGGATATTAATGAAGTTGGCGAAACGTAGGACCCTCTGGGACGGATGAAATGATCGAAATAAATTTTAAAAAAACGTTGAAAGATTGAAAAAGACTCTAGAAAGATTACGTCTAGAAAAATACAATTCTCGATGCTTTATAGTCAGTGTCCACTATAGGGTTTTAGTTAGTGTCTACTCCAGAGGTTTCAATCAGGGTTCACTCTAGGGGTTTCAATTAGGGTTCACTCTAGGGGTTTCAGGGGAATTTATTGAATTTTAACTTTATGAAAAAAATAAAATTTCCAGGTGAAAAAAATCAATAAATCGATTTAGTGTATGAAACAGTATCTACAGAAAGTTGAAAGATCAATATTTATTTAATACGACTTTTTCAATTTTTCCAATACAAACAATAACTATAAAAACCCCTATAGGGACCACTTGAGCTTCAGGTGCTTAATAGTCAGATCCTTAAACCCTAGAGGGCTTCCTTAAGGTCTTTTTTGTCCCCTAGCCCCTCTAGGGGTCACTCTGGCGCTCTTAATGAAAATTTTGGAATCAAAAAAGGAATATATCATAGAAATTCTTCAGGCAGTGATCAGAATGGTGAATATGCTCAATTTATTCGCCTTTTTCGTCACGAAAATGGAAAAATTGGACTATTATGCGAAGAATTTGAGAAGTTTCGTCTCGAAAAATGTCCAAGTTTATCGGAATTGGGTAATTTTTCTAGTCTGACCTGTCTGCGCTCTCTTTTCTCTCACCTGAAGTTTAAGAAATGGAGAAATAGCATGTAGAATGAGAGAGTCTTTTCTCTTCAATTTTGAGCGCCCATGACTTTTTTCACAGACCTCTTAGAACATTTTCGATCCTACATTTGGATTCAGCTCGAAAAAATCCTTCTAGTGAGAGAAAAGAGAGCGCAGACAGGTCAGAGTGCTACAAAACTTGGAGGATGATCGATTATTGATTGATTGATTTTTTTTCAGACTTTTGGTTTTGTGAATGATTTGGCGAGTTTGCGTGATTTGATACATCGGCTTATCGATACGATGGAAGTTGTCGGAGACGATTCTGTGTGTTCCGTGGAGCACATTTTCATGATTCTCGATCAATAGTGATTTTTCTTGATTTTTGTCATAGAAAACTTGATCCATCAGATTTTTTGACGTTTTTATGATCTTTTTTTCCATTTTTACAAGCGGAAAACTCGCAAAAAAACTTTATTTGAATTTTTTAGATTTCTGAGGTTACCTCTCTTCATTATTCAGTAGTTCAGGTTTTTTTAAATGAATTCTATTTTCTAGCTTCTCTGCGCTCTCTTCTCCCTCAGCAAGAAGATCAACTTAAAAGTTAAAAGCTTAAAAGTTCTGGGAAATTTTTGTAGTGCCCACTTTAGGGTTTTGACCTCTTAGTGGCCATTGTAGTAGTTGAATTAGGGGCCACTTTAGGAGTCTAAGTGGTACCACTAGAAACCAGAAAATGGTCACTCTAGGGTTTTGAGGTTTTAGTCGCCAATGTAGTAGTTGAATCAGAGGAATTCTTCGAGACCACAAAAAGTTTGAGTGGCCACTTTAGGGGTCAATGGATCATCATAACTGGTCCAATCTGTTTGTTTTAAAATTATCAGAGTTACTGGAAGGAATACTGGATGAAAAACTACTGAAGTGGCCACTATAGAGGTGGGTTTAGTGGCCACTTTAGAGTCCGCTCCAAGGAGCCCTTGAGAAACCTCTTAAGAGGCCACTTGACCGATAGAGCGCGGAAAAGTGTACCTGATTTTCTCAGGCCTTGGTAAAGCGAACCGGACGCGAATCGAAAGTTTCGGGACATTTCTAGGGACCACTTTAGTAGCGTCAGCCCTCTTAAGTGATCCCTAGAATCGCTCAGGAACGTCCGGTTTTGTTACCTAGATCCAAGTGTCATGCTATAAAGTACGGGCGTTTACAAAATGCGACCGCTTTTTTGTGCTCCACTGCGAATTAATAAAATGCGGGCGTTTCTTGATCTTATCTTTTTCACTTTTACTGGGAAATTTATTTCAAAATTTGTATTTTTTTCCTTTTTAAAAAAACGATTCAATAAAGTAATAGTTTATTTTAATTGCTTGAAAAACTTCCCATGAAGAGTTTCTGAAACCGATTTTTATACAGTTTACAATTCTCTAATAAACCTAAAATCAGGTGGAAAAAACTGAAAATGGGACAGAATTTTAAAAAAGATACTGTCAAAAATGAAGATGGGCACCACTGTACAATAGAAAAAATTAAAAAACTATTTTCATTTTAAAAGAATAATGAAAAGTCAAAAAACCCTGCAGCACAAAAAAAGGTCGCATTTTACAAACGTCCGTACTTTATGGCATGCCGCTGCGAACTTAGCAACAAATAACTTCTGGAAATTCCGTTTAAACTTTAAGTTGAAACAGTAGAACCATGAAAGTGTCCGAATTTTATTTAAAAAAAGCGTTATAATCACGACTTGGAATTTCACCGAACGACATTCCGCTGTGCCGCCGCGCGCCTTTGCGAACCTCGGTCGCGCTTTTTTAATTTTTCTTTGATACTCTTTCATGTGCTCCCACAGCAGTAACAATAAATTGAAAACCTAGATTCGAAAGACGCGTCGCGACCGCACGCAGCGGAACAGCGGAATGTCGTTCCGTGAAATTTCAAGTCGTGGCACATAGACTATGAAATCGGGATTTTGCAGTAATTATATCGAGTCTTTGCAAGTCATTTTGACGACCTGCGAGGCTCAGCGAGTCCATTGTGGGGTTCCTTTGGACTGCATCCATTTTCTGGCCAATCATCCCCTCGGATTGATTATTTTCTCGGAAAACGTCGAATCGACCCAAAAGTTGATCGAAACCTTGGGGAATCTTCAGGTTGGTCCGTTCTGAAATGGAGATTTTTGGGTTCAGAGACATTTTTGACATCTTTTGGTGACTGAAAAATGGCCTTTCTGCACCAGTTTTTAATATTTTCCACGAAAACTTTGAAGAGATGAAACTGAATAGGATCAGGAAAAATCAGATTTTTGAAAATTTAAGCTGCTAGAGACGCGTTGCGGTCGCGACGCGGTTAAAAAAACGAAAAAAATGGAAAAAAAAATTTTCTCATACTTTTTTTCGAAATTTTTCCCAAAAATACTGACTACTCAGTTGAATGAAGAAAAGCATGAAAAATAAAACCTAATTTTTTTACGCTCCCCCTCTCCCCCATCAAAAAAATAAGTCTCGCAAAGGTTCTGTAGAACACGTGTCAAAGCCTAAATCTAAAATGGGAGGGGGGCTTGTTTGAATGAGCTCTGCGGGGGGCTTTTTAAAGAGCAGTGGGGGAATAGGATAGTTTGCCTAGACGTTTCAGAATCGGCTCCCGTTTTTGTACTGCGGGGGGCCATTCTAGAATACAGTTTCGCCCCCCGCGTTTGATTCTTCCCCCACATGAAGCCCCCTGATTTTACCCCTCCCCTCCCCCGCAGAAAGCTCTCTGATTTTACCCCCCCACATGAAGCCCTCTGATTTTACCCTTTCCCTTCATTTCCCGCCAAAAACCGCGACCGCAACACATCATTTTGATATATTTCCTCCTATCCTCTTTCAAATCAGAAGAAAATGATTATAAAATGCTCCAAGAATATTTCTTATCAAAAAAATTTCTTACTAATATTCGATTTTCAAGGCTCTGAAACCTCCCGAGGAGACCGTGAAACACGAAAAGGCCGAGGAATTGAGGATCGAATTTATCTCGAAACTCTACCTTTTCCGACTCTTTTCCGCAGTCAAGAAGCATTCGAAAACGTGAGTTTTATGAAAAGTTAAAGAAAGGATCCGGTTTTGAAAAGCTTTTCTGAACTTGCTGTTATAGTCTATGTGCCACGACTTGAAATTTCACGTAGCGACATTCCGCTGTTCCGCTGCGTGCGGTCGCGAAGCGTTTTTCGAATCTAGGTCACGCTTTCAATTGATTGTTATTGCTGTGGGAGCACATGAAAGCAGAGTACCTTAATAAAAGAAAAAAATTAAAAGCGCGACCAAGGTTCGAAAAGGCGCGCAGCGGCACAGCGGAATGTCGTTTAGTGAAATCCCAAGTCGTGGTACACAGACTATAAATTTCGTACAAGGCCTTTTTTTGTTTCGATAGTTTTATTCACTCTTTGATTTCTTTCAACCTTTGGAGAAATTTTAGTTTTTCTTGCTATTTTTTTAAAAAAATATCAGTTATTTTATTGATTTTTTTCCGTTTTTTTCGAGCTCTTTTTTTGATTTTTTTTTTTTTCGATTCTAGAAGAATTCTGTGCAGTTAAGAAACATTTGATTAGAAGTTATGAGGCCCTTTTTACTTTTTGAATAATTTTTGTTTAATTCACTGTTTTTTTAGACTAACTGCTGAAGACTTGAAAACGAACGAGGAGCGGAAAAAAGCATTGGAACGACTTTTTGCGGCCTCCCAACACCCGACTCTCCATGATTCCTTCGTTTTTGTTGGATCTTTCTTCGCAAGACCCGTTTTCGAGATTGTTCTGCTGGCACAGGATCCTGAAAGGGTATTATCAGAAGAAAAAAAAATGGGAAGAAAAATAGTTCATTCATGACACGCTACAATAAATCCCAGGATCCAGAAACGGTAAAATGTGGAAGAAAAATAGGAAAGTTTATTCATGATGAGCTACAGTAACCATCTTTTGCTTCGAGACTCATTTAGAACTAGTTTTTGATTTTTAATCTTTTCTTTCAAAATTCGGGGAAGCAACATCCCGAAACGGAAAAAATTGGATGAAAAAATAGGAAAGTTCAATCACGACGAGCTACAGTAATCCCTTTTCGCTTCAAGACTCATTTTGGACGAATTTTCGATTTTTTATTGTTTCTTTGAAAACGCGTGGCACAGAACCCTGAAACGGAAAAAATTGGATGGGAAATAGGAAATTTCATTCATGATGAGCTACATTAATCCTTTTTCTTTTCAAGACCCCTTCAAGGCGGATTTTCGATTTTTTATTGTTTCTTTGAAAACGCGTGGCACAGAACCCTGAAACGGAAAAAATTGGATGGGAAATAGGAAATTTCATTCATGATGAGCTACATTAATCCTTTTTCTTTTCAAGACCGCTTCAAGGCGGATTTTCGATTTTTTATTGTTTCTTTAAAAACTCGAGGCACAGATTCCTGAAACAGCAAAATCGAAAGAAAAAATAGTTCAATCACGACGAGCTACAGTAATCCTTATTCGTTTCAAAACTCATTGAGGGCGGATTTGCGGTTTTTAACCGTTTATTTCAAAATTCGAAAAACAAGGCCCTGAAACGGGAAAAATTGGAAGAGAAAATAGGAAAGTTTTTACATAAACAGTAACCCCTCTTCGCTTCGAGACCCATTAAAGGCGGATTTTCGAGTTTTAATCGCTCTTTAAAGGCTCGAGGCACAGAATTCAGAAACGTTGTAGTTAAAAAAAGACGAGATAACTCATAAAAAGCTACAGTAATCCCTTTTCGCTTCGAGACCTATCAAAGGCGAATTATTAATTTTTAATCGTTTTTTTTTTAAACTCGAGATGCAGGATCCAGGAACGGTAAAAACAAGAGAGAAAGTATGGGAATTATTTGTTTATTCATGAAAAGCTACAGTAGCCCTTTTTCGCTTCGAGACCCATTTCGAACGAATTTTCGATTTTTTTGAAGCTTCATTAAAATTCGCGGCTTCAGTCAACTTTTAACACTCTGTGACTTATAAAGCTGAGAATTTTATGTTTTTTTCAAAAAAACTATTGAAACCGAATAAAAATTTTTTTCGCCAATGGTATGGAAGACTATGAATTATCGAGTTTTAATAATTTTTTTTCGATTATTCTCACAAAAATTAAAAAAAAACTCCTGAGACCATTTAATTCTGCAGAGAATCACCCAAAAAGCGGCCGGTTTATTCGCTTTCGACTTGACGGCGATCCTGATGTTGGAAGTTTGTGAGCCCGTCTTCTGGATCGAAAAATGCTCCGATTTTTCGCGACTTTGGCCAGCAAAAAAAGTTTCCTTTGAAGTGGAAGTTTGTTATTTTTTTTTTGTATAGGTACACATTTATGAGGAAAAATGCTTTGTAACGCCCCGATTTCATTGAAAAGATGCATTTTTGGTTAAAAATAAGTTTATTGGTTTTATAATTTTTTTTAGGCAGGAGGTTCAAAGAAGGGTATTCAATTAGGGTCCAGAATGCTTCGAAAAATCCTTAAAACTTGTATTTTTACACTTTTCTCATGGATTATGGGTACAAAAATACAATAAGGTTGTTTATTAGAAATAGACGATTGAATTTTTGGATTTTATAATTTTTTATGAGGCAAAAGGCCTAAAAAACGTTTCAAAATGGCTCTAGAATGCCTGAAAAACTTCTAAAATTGTGAATTTTCACTTTTCTTATGGGTAGAATGTGTACTAAAAATAAATTTATGAAAAAAGAACCTTCCAGGAACGATCACAACGCCGCGGCTCAACTGATTCTAGAAGCTTTCGTTAATAAAAATGTCCAGTGCATTGAGAAGCTGAACGACAAGGAAACCCAGGAACAATTCGTTTTGGGCCTTTCTAAGAGGTTCTTCTTGTTTTTCGCACCGACCGCGAGGCGTTTTGGCGCCAATAAATAATTCAATCCTTGAATATTTCCATTTCTTTTAATAATAATAATAATTTATTCACAGATCAGTGTGAACCCCAACGAGTTCACTTCGATCTACAATTTAAATAAGGAAAAAAGAAAAAAAAAAGTTGAAGTAAAAAACAAAAAATTGAGATCAGTTAAGTCTTGGTGGAATAGAGGTAAAAAAATTCGTTGCGAGGTAAAACGACCAATAATTTTTTTCAAAAGAATTAGGTGGAAGTGTGAACTGATATTTGGATGTAAGTTTATTCCAAATAGGAATAGTTTTTGAAAAAAAAAGTTGTTAGAAAAACTGACCTTGAGAACGTAGCCGAAGTGGATTTCGCCTTAAATTGAAATCTGAGGGCAAAATTTTCGAATTGAGGAAAGTGATCATGACCAGAAACAATTTTTTGGAGAGTGAGGAGATCAGAAATAACTCGTCTAATGTAAAGTGGGGTTTGTTGAAATTGCTCTAGACGATCTGAATAGGAATCAAAAGATAGGTTCGACCTAATGTAAACTTTGCGGGAAAAAATTTTGAGTGGGGATTCAAGCTTGTAACTTTTTTCACCCGGATATAGTCGATGTGCCACGACTTGAAATTTCATGGAACGACACTCCGCTGGGTGGTCTTGTGGCCGTGAAAGCGCCTTCCCTTTGCGAGATTCGGTCGCGCTTTCCTTTTTTTTTTTCTTTTATTTGAAATTTTCCTTATTTTAATAATGTTTTTAATAGTTTTCTTCGTGCCAAACTCATGATTATCATTGCTAGTGGATAGACTGTTTCATTAGAAACAAAAAAAAACCTTTTTTTTGGAAACAACAAATTTGCATCATTGCTGGGCTTGCCTTTCCAGTAATCATCATGTTACGCTTATTGCGCTGAACGTATTCGAAACGTCTCCAAAGAAATTTATGTCAAAGAGCGAAAAATATTGAACATAATCAAAAAAGAAATTTTAACATACAAAATTCGAAAAGTACTTGACTTTCAGGTGTTTCCAAGGGAACAGTCTATGCAAAAGCAATGATAGTTCCGTTTTTGGCACGAAAAAATAATTGAAACATTGTCAAAAAAGTGAAAATATCAAATAAGAGAAAAAATAAAAATCGCGACCGAAATTCGCAAAGGCAAGGCGCTTTCACGGCCACAAGGCCACCCAACGGAGTGTCGTTCCATGAAATTTCAACTCAAGGCACATCGACTATACATAGAACAATAAATTCAAAATCACCTTTTTTCAAAAATGTCAAATTGGCGCTAAAAACCGCGTCGCAGCCGCTTCGCACGCATCCCTGCGTTGATTAAATTATCAAACAAAACATGTAAATACCCTTTCAAGGCTTCATGTCGTCGACACGACGGGAGAACGTTCACGATTGGACGCCAAGATTCCCGATCCAAGGCTGATCATCGCCTTCCGACTCGCCAATACTTTTGTTCGACTAATCCCCCATTTTTGAGAAATGATGTTCATCTTCAGATCAGCTCCTCGGATTGGAATACCTGTGCAAATCGGTTGAGGATGCTCGACAAAGCTGACGTTCCGATTCATCTCGATCTTGTTCTTTATGTAAGATTCTTTGAGAAAAGGGTTTTGTGAGAAGAAAGCTAGAGATCAAAAAGTTTGAAGAGACGTTAGAGAAATGAACAACTACCACTTTCTCTGGCGTCTCTTCTCTTTCGCTTTCCTTTTTCGAGGCTTTTCCAGTTTCTATTTAAAAAAAAAGAAAACGGGAAAAATGATCGATGCGAGAGGTCAGGGGCGCTTGAAGAAACGTGAGAGAAGTAAAAGAACTGTCTCTATCTCTGGTACCTCTCCTCTCTCGCCTTCCCTTTTCGGGGCATCTTTATATACTTTCAGAAAAACGGTGAAAATGAACGAAGCGAGAGATTGGTAAGGTTTAAGAGGCATCAGAGAAGCAGGGAACTTTCGCTTTCTCTGCAGCCTCTTATCTCTCGCTTTCCTATTTTTAGGCTTTTCATTCTATAGAAAAACAAGAAAATTAACCAAGCTAGAGATCAGAAGCGCTTGAAGAGACGTTAGAGAAGCAGGGAACTCTCTCGCTCTCTGGAGCCTCTTCTCTCTCGTTCCCCCTTTTTGGGGCTTTTTTAGGTTTTCCATTGGAAAAAAAAAAATGAAGGAAGCAAGAGATCAAAAAGCTTGACGAGACGTTAAAGAAAAAAAGAACTTCCTCTTTCTCTGGTGTCTCTTCTCTCTCGCTTTCCTATCTTTGGGCTCTTCATACTATAGGAAAAATTCGAAAAATGAAGGAAGCAAAAGATCAAAAAGTTTGAAGAGACGTTAGAGAAGCAGGGAACTCTCTCTTTCTCTGGAGCCTCTTCTCTCTCGCTTTCCTTTACCGAGGCTTTTCAGATTCTCTAAAAAACGGGAAAAATGATCGATGCGAGAGGTCAGGGGCGCTTGAAGAGACGTTAGAGAAGTAAAAGAACTGTCTCTATCTCTGGTACCTCTTCTCTCTCGCTTTCCTATTTTTTTGGCTCATTTTTTTCTATAAGTAAAAAAGAAAAAAAATGAAGGAAACGAGAGATCAGGGGCGCTTGAAGAGATGTGAGAGAAGTAGAGAACTGCCTCTTTCTCTGGAGCCTCTTCACTCTCGCTTTCCCTTTTTAAGGCTTTTTCAGTTTCCATTGGAAAAAAGAACGGGAAAAATAATCGAAGCGAGAGATCAGAGGCGCTTGAAGAGACGTTAGAGAAGCAGGGAACTCTCTCTCTTTCTCTAATCCTCCTGCTCTCTCGCTTTACTATTTTTGGGCTCCTTTTATAGTCATTTAACCACAAAACCAAGAAAAAAAAAATAATTTTTTTCAAAAAAGATCCCAACTTTTTCCAGAACACGACAGTGCTGTACTATCGTTCGTACGATACGCCGGACGGAAAATCGAACTCGGAAGAAGACATGGCGCACTTCTTGATCTCGGCGTTCAGCTACTACCTGCGGATGGTTCAGCTGCGGATCCCGATCGATCCGCCCACTGTTCGGCCCTTCCTTTGAAGCTCGAAGTGATGAAAATAGCCTTTTCAGTGCAGCAAATCGAGGCCGGTGTGGCCGAAACACAGTATGTTGTCGATCTTCGTCTGCAAGGCAATTTTGGCCTCCTGGCGGATGACCAAGACCACGGAAAGGGCCGAAAAAATCCAGAGATTGATCCGGGAAATCGTCTGGCATGTCCTGATCTCCCGTAGGCCAGTAAGTTCATTGCGAAATATCAAGGTTCAAATTATGAAATTTCGAAGTTTCTTCAAAAAGAGGTTAAAATGTGCAATTTACGACGTCATTCTTTAGATGGGTGACGTCATTTTGGTCAAAAATTGTGATTTAAAGGTCCTTAATTGGGAATTCTTCAATTTATTGACGTTATTTTACCATAAATGACGTCATTTTTGTACTTCTGACGTCATGTCACCGTAAATGACGTCATTCTGGTACTTCTGACGTCATGTTACCATGAGTGACGTCATTATTGCATTTCTGACGTCATGTTACCATGAATGACGTCATTTTTGAATTTCTGACGTCATGTTACCATGAATGACGTCATTCTTGAATTTCTGACGTCATGTTACCATGAATGACGTCCTTTTTGAATTTCTGACGTCATGTTACCATGAATGACGTCATTTTTGTATTTCTGACGTCATTCTGCTATTTCTGACGTCATGTGACCATAAATGACGTCATTATTGTTTTTCTGACGTCATTCTGCTATTTCTGACGTCATGTTACCATAAATGACGTCACTCTTGAATTTCTGACGTCATGTTCTCATAAATGACGTCATTCTTTAATCAAGTGTACCGAGGATTTTCTACAAAAAAAATTTACAGTTCTCATTGAAAAAAAAAATGAGACCGGCACTAGTTTTCTCAGAATAATGACGTCACTAACACTTTTTATGACGTCATCATCGAAAATGTTTTCAATTCTCTAGAAGCTGATCCAAAGTTTGCTGAACAACCTGAACGAAAGTCGAATCGAACTGGACTGCTCTTACGAAATGATGTGTCTTCTGGCCCGAGCCGCCCCTTCGACGGTCAATCCGATGAAAAGCTCGGCGGATGAGGTAATGAATGGACTTTTTGAGAGGTTAACGAATTTTAGAAGTTCAAAATCTACCAAGAACGCCTGAAATACGCCGGCGAGCAGTTGACGAAAGCTTTGAACGACTCGTGGATCGATGATATGATTTCGGTGAGGTTTCGGGAGGGTAAAATGAACATTTTTGGGAAAAGTGTGCGTGTGAAAAATTGTTCAATCATGAAAAACAGTCAAAAACAATTTTTAAAAAATTGAAATTGAGAAAAATCGAAGAAAAAAGCGAAAACCAAAAAATGTTGTCCATGGAGCAACTTTACTGCAAAACGCCATTTTGGCGGGATTTCAAGAATTTCTCACTCTGATTTTGAACAACTTTTTCAACAAAAGTAAAAACTTCCGTACACTTTCAAGAATACCGTTCGATTCGCAATGAAAAACTCTATAAAGAACCGATTTGAGCAGGAACCTCGTTTTTTTACTGCCCATGTGCCTATAAAGAGAGTCTCCAGCATGAAAAAATGATAAGAAAACTTAGCCGTGTAAAAATTGTTCTCTAACGAAATCATTTTTGAAAATAGCCGCATAAAATATAGCTAAAGATTTTTCTTTAAAAACATTGCCCCAGGCAGAGGAAAAGAGGCTTCTTCGAGATTTTAGCCAAATTCGGGAGTCGAGTAGATTTTTTTGCGAAATTTGAACATTTCACTTACATTGAAAATATTTAAAATAGAAAAAAAGAATTATTTAAAAATCAAATCGAATTTTGCGCGTCGATTATGTAGTTTTGTGTGCATCACGGACAATGCAGCGAATCATACGCCATTTTTTTAAAATTTTTTTTTTTTTTTTCAAAATTTCTACGGCTTTTTTTCTCGAAATTTTCTTGTGGAAAATAGGCTTCCGTTGAGAATAGGCTCAAATTTTCGACTTCGAGTAGATCCCCACTAAACGTCGACTTTCCAGAGATGCGCCCTGGACAGTACAACGAACATTTTTGCGATGCGATTGAGCCATCTGTCAATTACAATTGGAAAGAAGATTTTTTTGAATTTCCTCAAAAAAGCGGCTCGTCTCATTTTCAAAGACGGTGCTGTCAAGACCTATGAGGATGTAAGTTGAATTTTTTTAGGGTTCTCAAAATTTTCTAGGTGCTTCTTATGGTGTTTTTTTTCATTTTGAAAAGGCTAGAATTTAAAAAAAAAAAATGAAATAAAGGCTTGAAAGTTGGATATGATAAGCTTTATAAGGACTTTTTGAAAAAAATGTCTGGTTTTTTTTTGATTTTTTTTAAATGAACCATTAATCTGTTATTAATGAATTTTGCAATTAAGCAATTTTTTTCAGTTTGAAACTTTTTAAAGATCCATTATTTTCAGCCGGAAAAGACCGGCTTCATGCGTCAAATGTACTGGATTCTCGAATTTGTCGAGAACACTTGCCCAAAAGCTGTTATTGCACAAATATTCGAGGAAAACGATGAAAAGTTGGTTTTTATCCCCGTTTCAAACAATCTGGTCGCAAGGGGAATGGCTGAATTTCGAAAGTCTTAAGTTTTTCAAAAGTGCACCAGTTTCAAAAGTGCGCCCGACTTAAAACGACTTGCGTAAGCCAGGCTAAATTTCAAAAGTGCGCCCGACTTGAAACGGTATGCGTGAGCCAGGTTAAGTTTCTAAAGTGCGCCCGACTTGAAACGGTTTGCGTGAGCCAGGTTAAGTTTCTAAAGTGCGCCCGACTTGAAACGGTTTGCGTGAGCCAGGTTAAGTTTCAAAAGTGCGCCCGACTTGAAACGACTTGCGGGAACCTTCTTGATTCCAATGCCAAAATCAAGAAATTCAGTTCTGCAGCGCGTCGAGAGCCATTCTAAGTGCGACCCGAGTGTTTCAAGCCTCAAAGAAAATGGATTTAAAAAAAAAAACTTAATTCAGGTTTTGGATTCATTCTGATAAAATCGTGGAGGCGGTGAAGAAGCCGAACCATTTCTTGGTCCTTTGTACTTATGCGGTGAGATTATTTTTCCCTATTTTTGAAGGTAACATTTGTTTTTAGCTGTATTTTTCGATTTTTAGTGAAAAGAGTGAAAAATTAGTATGGACTTATGTAACTGCTAACAACGGAGGTCATTTTACTTTGCGGTTGGGATTTTTCTGAAAATTGGCCAGAACACTCCTTGATGTACCAGATAAAGATCCTGAAAGTCTCAACCTGCACAGCTTCCTAGTTTTCGAGAAATAAGGGTCTAAAGCCCCAAAATAACCAATTTAATGGATTTTGAGCCTTTTCTTTGACTTAGAGACTCATTTTCCCAAAAACGAGGGATTTCTGCAAATTGAGACTTCTAGAATTTTATTCTGGCTCATCAAAAAGCGTTCTGACCGATTTTAAGGAAAATTCCAACCGCCAAGTACAATGACCTCCCTTACAAAAAGTCAGGAGTAGAAAGAAAGTTTGAGCGGAAAATGCGTTCTGTTGCTAACTTCTTCTTTAGAGGGATAGGATGAAAAATCTAGAGAGAAAAGCAATTATTGTACTTTGAAAAATCCGTCAATGAAAAAAGGAACCGTAATATTCAAGGTTTCAGAACTAAAAAAAAAAAAGCTTGAAACGAGTTTGAAAAAGAGGCGGGGTCTAAAAAGCAGGAACTCGTCAGGCTTGAGAATTCCAGAGTGGTCCCTATAGGGGTTAGTGAGGTGAAACAATCCCTATAGGGAAAAAGTTAAGGTGGTCCCTATAGGGGTTTAGGGTCTGACCCCTTAGCCCCTAAAGCTCAAGTGGACCCTTTAGGGGTCTTTTAAATTCATTAAAAAACGCTTTTTTTCAGTTTTTTCCCATGGAAATGCTTCTTCGCGTAGAGCTTATAAAAATTATTGACTAACATGTCCCCTATAGGGGCCACTTGTGCAAGTCTAAGTGGCCCGTATAGGGTTGGTAAAGCGGTCTTTGGAGGGCTCCTAAGGCTGCCCCTATAGGGACCACTCTGGAGTTCCTGAGGGGTTCTGGCTCTGATTTTTGTCTTTTGATAGAGGAGCAAAAAGGCAAAAAACGGAGAAAAATTTTTTTCAGACCTTTCTCCTGAGACTCTTCGAAGCAGTTCCATATCATGTCAAACCGTCATCCGGTCGTGAACTTACTCTTTCTGAACAGTGGGCTTCCGAATTCAATGAGGAAACCGTTGAAGAAGAGGAGCAGAACGCCGTCGACCAGGGTCAGTTCTGGAAGAAGAAAAAATGGTTACGGTGGTTGAGAAGTACGCATGCACTCTGACGTAGCTCTTTTTTTCGAAGAGAACTTGTGCAATTTAGGAGGTTACAGTAACTCAATAGCATTTTAAAAAAAGTATTTTTTTGGGGGGGTTACTGTGGTTTTTTTGAGCGGATTTTGGAGGTCATACGGTAGGACATAAGTACGCAAAAATCTTAACGAAGAGGAGTAGAACGGCCTCAACCAGGGTCAGTTTTGGAAGAAGAAAAAGAGGTTACGGTCGTTTTTAGAAGAAAAAAATGGATTTAGAAGAAAAAAAGAAGGTTACGGTAGTTGAGAAGTACGCATGCACTTTAACGTATTGAAAGTTCTTTTTTTCGAAGAGAAGTTGTGCATTATAGGAGGTTACAGTAACTGACTAGCATGTCAAAAAATTTAAGCTTTTTTGGGTTACTGTAGTTTTTTTGAGCTGGTTTTGGAGGTCATACGGTAGGAATAAAGTACGCAAAACTCTGAACGAAGAGGAGCAGAACGCCGTCGGCCATTAGAAGAAGAAAAAGGGATTACGGTAGTTTTTAGAAGAAAAAAAATGGATTTAGAAGAAAAAAGAAGGTTACGGTAGTTGAGAAGTACGCATGCACTTTAACGTATTGAAAGTTCTTTTTTTCGAAGAGAAGTTGTGCAATATAGGATCTTACAGTAACTGACTAGCATGTCAAAAAATTTCAAACTTTTTTGGGGTTACTGTAGTTTTTTGAGCTGATTCTGGAGGTCATACGGTAAGACGAAAGTACGCAAAACTCTGAACGAAGAGGAGCAGAACGCCCTCGACCATTAGAAGAAGAAAAAAGGATTACGGTAGTTTTTAGAAGAAAAAAAGAAGGTTACGGTGGTTGAGAAGTACGCATACACTCCGACGTATTGAAAGTTCATTTTTTGAAGAGAAGTTGTGCAATATAGGAGGTTACAGTAACTGACTAGCATGTCAAAAAATTTCAAACTTTTTTGGGGTTACTGTAGTTTTTTTTGAGTTGATTTTGGAGGTCTTACGGTAGGAAAAAAGTAAGCAAAACTCTGAACGAAGAGGAGCAGAACGCCCTCGACCAGGGTCAGTTTTGGAAGAAGAAAAAATGGTTACGGTAGTTTTTAGAAGAAAAAAAGATGGTTACGGTAGTTGAGAAGTACGCATGCACTCTGACGTCTTGAAAGTTCTTTTTTTGAAGAGAAGTTGTATAGGAGGTTACAGTAACTGACTAGCATTTTAAAAAAAGTCAGATTTTTTTTTGGGGTTACTGTAGTTTTTTTCGAGCTGGTTTTGGAGGTCATACGGTAGGACAAAAGTACGCAATGACTGTTTATCATGAGAAAGAAAATGAGGAATTTATTTTTCGTATAATCGGATTACGGTAATCGATATGCGTGCGAACACTTTGCTGTCATATGCACAGTTTTTCATTCCGAATTTTTTCAGGAACTTTTTCATTGGAAGTGCCGCCAATGTATCCGGGCTGTGTGCCTGTCGCCCCCCAGCCATTGCCAAAAGGCGCGGATCCCCTTCAGAAACTCCATTGTAACCATTTTTCCTCCGAAAACTTGTTTTGAAGGCATACGGGAAGTGAAAAAATGGGCTTTCCTAGTCATTAAACTTTCTACCTAGGAAAAGTTGGAATGTGGAAAAAGGCTCTGTAGAAATGTTCCTCTTTTGCTGCCTTTTTGCACCATTTGATCGGCCCTTATGCACCATTTTTCACTGCCAAAGTCGGGAGTGACTGCAAAATGGCCGCTAAAAGGGTTCCGTTTTGCGGCCTTTATTGAGCTTTTCATTTTTGGTGGGCTAAAAAGCCTCAAAAAGGGTGCAAAAAGGCTACAGAAAGGCTGCAAAAAGGCAGCAAAAAGGATGCAAAAAGGGTGCTGATAGTCTTGGTCATTAAGGATTTTTGATTGTATTACTGTAGCCCATTTTGGTTCATACACAGTCACTGGTGAAGATTATCCTCAATTTAAAAAATTTTATTTCTCAAAAGGGCCCAAAAAGGGTGGATAAAGGCTGATGAAAGGGTGGAAAAAGGCAGTAAAAAGGAAAACGTTGCCACCCATTACGGACCCTCAAAGGGCCTGTAAAGGGTCCTTCCGACCTATGTTTCTGCCTCTCCCTTCTTCCACCATTTCTTGAGCCTTTAAAAACCTTGAAAAAATGGGAGGCTAGATTAAGGGAGCCTTTTCGCAGCCTTTCTGCGGCCTTTTTGGAGACTCTCCCTTTCAGCGGCCATTCCGACTTTGCCCGAGTCATTTGAAAATCACAGCGGTTTCGTTGGCAAAACCAAAAAAAGGAAAACCCCGTTCCCATGTGACGTCATGAGCGGGAACTATAGGGCTTATTAAAGGCGCATGCCGCAGCTCTTCAATGGGTCTTGAGACGAATCGATTTCTCACCGTCCCGGCGTTCCCAAACGGGGTGGGAGACCGTCAAAAAAAGTTTTTTTTTCAAATCTCAGCCAAAGACGATCGAACAAACAAGTTATTAACGTTGAATACTCAGTGTAGAATGACGTCATTTTATCCGGAGCGCGCACCTTTTTTTGTAAATCCAGAAAATTTGACCCCTCGCTCACCTTCCGTCCCATATAGACCTAATATTTTTCTGTGAGAGAGCGCCGCAGTGCATGCACACGACACACGACACTTTACGGAAAACACTGATTCTGAGCAGATTTCAAAAAAGAAGGCGGAAAATAAGGTCGTGTTTTCTTTTGACCGTTCGTTACTCAATGAAAAGCTCCACAAGGTGCCTTTTTTCACATCAAATCCCGTTTTTTTTACTGCCCACATGCCTTCAAAGCTTTATAGCTGATTCACGGCTGGCTTGAGCCATCGAAAAAATGGTCCTGACACGATAAAGCACGAGATAGCGCCTGACAGGACACGCCCCCTTAGCGTCCCAAGCTGGCCGTGGATCAGCTATAACCAACGGTGAATCGACTATAAGGAAAAAAAAAGAAATTTCAGTTGCCGTCATTCAACTTTGGACTGCGGTGTTCAATATTTATTCGGCTCCTAACTTGGAATTGAAAAGGGAACATCATTCAGTGATCGACTCAGTCTTAGAAATTCTCAGTCAAGAAAGTTCCGAAACGAGAAAGTGCATGGTGGGTGTCTGAATTCGGAAAAAATCGGCTTTTTGTTTTGGAATTTTGATTTTTGCCGCAGAACTAAGAAGGGAAGACCAAAAACACGGTGGGCGGAGTCAAAACCTTCGCCGTTCCCATGTGACGTCATGGGAACGGCAGAGATTTCGGCTCTAATAACAGGGCTTATTAAAGGCGCAGCCCGCCGTTTTGCCAGAGATCTTTGACACGAATCGGATTTTTCTGCACGAAAGCGTCGCTGTTCACGCACACGACACACGAAATTTCACGCAGGAAAAATGGGCGTGGTCTGACCATAACAGGGCTTATTAAAGGCGCATGCTGCCGTTTTGCCAGGGGTTTTTGACACGAATCGAATTTTTCTGCGCGAATGCGGCGCAGTGCATGCACACAATACATGACATTTTACGGAGAAAAAGTGGGCGTGGTCTGACCTATCTGCGCTCTCTTTTCTCTCACCTCGTGATAGAAATCACTTCCTAACCTAACTTAAAGGCGCATCATGAAAATTAGGAAATTAGTCGTGACAGACAAGATTTTTAGAGCTTTCCTAGCTGTTATGACGGTTTTTTGATACAACTTTGAAATTTTACAACTTGATATACCTCATTCACCATTCTGTCTGACCTGTCTGCGCTCTCTTTTCTCTCACCGACCTTTTAGAAAGAATGGGAAAAAGAGAGAGCACAGAGATATTATGTGCTGTTTTTCTCTGCGCCCTCCTCGTCTCTCGACGACTCTCTCATGTTGCCATGTTTCTCTGAACTCCCCGGTGAGAGAGACGCAGACAGGCAGAAAGTGTCAAGACGCGACGAATGGACTATATAAAAAAATTTTTCCTTGGTTTTGGATTTTTCAAGTTTTTTTAATCGATTATTTCAATATTAGTATTGATTATGAAATCGAGCCGAAAAAAATGAAAAATTAAAAAAAACGTTTCAGTTGGCCCAAGCTCTCAGTAACGTGAAAATGGAGCAAATAATCAAAAACCTTGCCGATCAGGGAATTGAAAAAGTCGAAATGATCCGGAACTTGCTCGAAATTCTTCTCGGCCTGGTTGATGACAAAGAGGTTGGTTTCCTTCCGAATAAAATTAAAAAGCCGCGAAAAATTGACAAAAAGTTCCTCAGAGCGCACTTGGTCTCTCGAATTTTGTGTTCGCTGGAGCGCATTTGCAAATCTTTTTAAGCTTCATTTTGAATGATCCGCCTCATTTTTCGCGAAAAAAAAATGTGCAGACGTAGCTCCGCCCCCAACAAAAAAACTAAAAACCTCATCTAGCCCTCGAAAACTCGATATTTTACTTACAAGGGAAGTGTTTTTGGTGGCCGGTTGAACTTTCGTTGAAACTTTGCTGAAAGGTACTATAAGACCTCCTCTTTCCAGAACACAAATAAAATTTCTCGCAATAAATCTCGTTTTCGAGTTATGAAGCTTCAAAGTTTGCACGCCGAATGAGTGCTGCAAGGCAAGAGGGAATGAGACTCGCGTACAATCTCTCTACTCCGGTTGGCAGCGTGGTGTAATGGCTAGCGTCCTTGCACCGTGGTGTCTATGACTGGGGTTCGAAACTTTTTGAAAAATTTCATTTTTGCCAAAACTTTCCTAGGAGGAATTTATCGAAATTGGGCAAATCGACCAAAACTTTCTTTCCAAAATAACATAGTTTCTCATTTCACTCGATTTACCAAGACTTTCGACAAACATTTTCCTTAGGCCCATGGGTAGGGACCGCAGACGAATTTTCAAAAATTTTTTTTCAGCATTGAGTTTTGTATGGTTTGATAGCTGTTTCGATTTAAAACTCAGAACCGTTTAGTTTTTCGAAAAAGATTCAGGATGAAAAAAGTTATGACGAAAAATGTGGCGCGCCGCGCACCATTTTTTTAGTACTGAAATTTTGGTATTATCCATTTTGACATTTTTCTCGATTTTTCTTCTAGAACAAGTTTTGATACTGGTCTATTATGATGTAACAAATCATAATAGAGTGCTAAAATGATGAAAATTTGCTAGTTTGCCGAAAAAGTCGGTATTTTCCAGAAAACAAAAAAACTGACGCTTGTGGGCATCGAACTCGCGACCTCAAAATAAAAAATCGCAGCGCACGCGCTGCGCCAAGCTGTTAGGTCTGGCGAGGGGAGCTTCCACCCCCCTTACCCTTGAGCCGTTTTGGATAGCACAGATTGCCTATTTTAAAAAAAGAAAAGTTTGAAGTAATTTAGCTATTTTTTTATCAGAATATGTTCGCAAATCTTTACCTAAACTTTCCGTGGAAAATTCACTTTGAAAAAAAGCTGTTTTTTTAGTGCTTTTTTTGCCTCGTTTAACGATCGCTGCATTAAAACGGCCCCGTAAATTTTTTTGGCAAAGACGAATTTTTTTATTTTTATTCTTTTTAATTGAAAGATTTTTTTACTAATAAATGTATATAATCGTTTGAAAAAAACCTGCGTTCGACCGCTTTCTGTGTGATAAACGCCGCTAATTTTTATTCTCTAGTTTCAAGAGCGTTTTTGCGTATTAAACAACTTTTTTTCAAACACAGATGCTGTGGAGAAATATTTAAGTAAACCCACGATCTAAATTTTTGAAAAAAATAAAAAAACTCGATTATATTCGCTTATTAACGATATTTTTGAATTATGACTTTCGGCACTCCCTAAAAATGTTTGGCAAAGACGAATTTTTTTATTTTATTGTTTTAAAAATTACCGTTACTTGAATCAAAATCATTTTATAAGAAAAGAAAGAGTGCGTTCGACCTGAAAACACATGAAAAAGCAAAAAATGACAACATTTTTTAGTTCCATTCACGTTTTTGTACGACATTCCGCGAGAACGCATCAAAAAAGCGTGAAATATTTTTTAAACGAAAGAGGAAGCTTTTTTGTACATGTGTGTCAAATTTCATTATCCAGCTCCATATATTTTGCAACTACAACAAAATGAAAGTTGAAAACCAAAAAAAAAGCCCCCTTTTCTATCGCGAAAAGGGGCGTGGCTTTGCGGTCCCTACCCATGGGCATTATCAATGGATCCTTTTCTGTATTTTTTTTATGGAATCTGGAAGAGCCACATTCCCTCTTGCCTTGCAGCACTCATTCAGCGTGCAAACTTTGAAGCTTCATAACTCGAAAACGAGATCTATTGCGAGAAATTTTATTCGTGTTCTGGAAAGAGGAGGTCTTATAGTACCTTTCAGCAAAGTTTCAACGAAAGTTCAACCGGCCACCGAAAACACTTCCCTTGTTAGAAAAATCTTTTTTGGACCTAGATATAGAATTTGGGAAATCGATATTTTGCGTTTTCTCAATTACCGGTGCTTTTTTTCGTCCCCCCAAATGTTTTTTCAGAAAAGAAACCCTTAATTTGAAGCAAATATCCGTTTATTTCTCCCAAAATACGAGTCTAATAGAGGTCCGCAAGATCGCGTCAACGGCTACTGTAAACAGTTGTCCGTACACCAATCCAAAGCATTTTTCAAATTTTAAAGGCGCGAAAATAAAATTGCCTTTTTCTTGAAAAGTAGTCATATCTGTGATTTTTTGAGTAGACTGTTCGATTCGCAATGAAAATCTATATAAGATACTGCTTTCACTTGAAACCCCGTTTTTCACTGCCCCTGTGTCTTTAAAGTAAATTCCAGCTTCCTTAAAATCCTTTTTTTTTCCCAGGAAACCCTTCGTGGAGAGACGCTACTCTACACGTTTTACGCTTTCGAGACGCCAGGAGTCGTCAAAGCCCTGAATTCGCTCAAAACGAACCTCTCGAAAATTTCCGAGCAGCACCAAGAAGAATCGCTCCCGAAATCAAAATCAGAATTATTGGCGATTCTAGAAGAGGCCCAACGTTTTCTTGCCCGATTCACTGGGAAACTTCAGTCATTGGGAAAAGCCTTCTGCACCATTCATAGTTCGTTTCTTTTATAAAACGGTCGTTTTTTATAGACTCCCGGAAATCCAGAGTTGTCCCTCTAGGGGCTAAGCGGAAAACAGACCCTATAGGGGTCGAAAAAGTGGTCCCTATAGGGGTAAAATCAAGGTGGCCCCTATAGGGATTAAGGGCCTGACCCCTCAGCCCCTAAAGCCCAAGTGGACCCTAAAGGGGTCTCTCAATTTCAGTCAAAAAATGCTCATTTATTCAGTTTTTTCCCCATGGAAATGCTTCCTCGCTTAGAATTCATAACAGTTATCGACAACCCCTATAGGGATCACTTTTGCAAGCTTTAGTGACCCCTCAAGTGGCTGGTGAAGTGGTCCCTAGAGGGGACCCGTTATAGCATGCCGAAGATAAAAAATGATGTAGATTTTCTGATCGAAATTTGGCTTGAATTTTTGAAAAAAGCTTCGGAGATTTTTCATTTCATTCATTTCAAGTGTTTATTCGCCATGAATGAAATGAAAAATCTTTAATTTTAATAAGGATCCGGAATATCCGAACTGATAACAGCTGGAAGAAGCAGAAAAACCCCTGAAATATCGATTTTTCAACAAATTTAAAACCAATGAAAGTGCGCTAAAGCTAGAAAAATGGAGTCAGAAAGAGCTTTCAGGAAATCATTTACATGCTAGAAGATCCTTAGGGACCCCAGAGCAGTCCCTAGAGTGGCAACCTCAAGGCTCTCCTCAAGGGATCCCTTATTCCTTCAAGAGGGGCGCTGAATCTTGCATAAATGGCCATTTTTGGGGTTTTAGTTAGTGGCCACTCTAGGGGCATGCTAGTCGTTTATTGTTATGTACTCTATGAGAAAGAGCATTCTCAAATTATTAGACCCCTATAGGGGCCACTTCAGCCTTAGGGACTTGAGAAATTCAATAGGGACCGCCTAAGTTTCACCTCTCTTTGTACACTGTAGGGGTTTTTTTCCCTAACCCCTCTAGTGACCACTCTGGCGTCCCTGAGTAAGTTGAAGAGAAGACTCTTTGAGAGTTAGAAGTATCCAGTTTTTCACTTGATTTCTCCAAGACCTTCTGAAGTGACTAAATTTGAAAAATTCCCTTCAGAAAATCCCGACCACAAGTCTTTGGATTTCTGGGCGTGCGCCTTGGCACCGATCCCACTGGTTCTTCAACCGGAACAATCGGAAATCCCTAATTGGCGCCAACTGAAAGACAACTATCAGAGAACGCCCTGGTACCGTGATCAGTCTGGGTAAGAAAAAACCATTTTTTTTTCCTGAAAACGAATTTGAAAATTTCAGAACGATTTCGGAGGCCAAAATGGGCCAAAAAGAGAAGAAGCGTCTTGAGAAAGCGATCAAGAATTTGAACAGGGAACGGTCAGTTGTAGTATTGCTCATGTTATAGGGTTATTGCTCATTTTGAAGAAAAAAAACGAAAAGAAAAGCAATTTTATGATCTCAAAAGTCCTTATGAAAAATTATCGTGATGCTCAGATTAGCTCATCTCAGAACACAATATGACTGGAAGTTATCGTATTGCTCAGCTTAGCTCATCTAAGCTCATGATAAGATTGGGAAGTTTTCGTATTGCTCAGATTAGCTCATCTCAGAACACAATATGACGGGGAAGTTAACGTATTGCTCAGATTAGCTCATCTCAGAACACAATATGACTGGGAAGTTATCGTATTGCTCACCTTAGCTGATCTTAGCTCATTTTCAAGGTCAATTTTTCTGATCTGAACTCATTCTCGAGTTTCTTCTCAAGATTAAAATACTTTTATCTTCTTAAATTTTCCCCAGAATCTTCCCATTGCTGATATTAGCCAAACTCCGCCCCTTTTTTATCGATTGATTTGACAAAAACATTTTCAGAGAAGCATCCCCACGCGCTCCAGTTTCTCGTAAATCTGAGTGAAACTTCTTTTTTTTTTGAATTGAACTTTTCAATTAACTGATCTCTGTTTGAATGATAATTATTTATTACTTTTTCTCAAATTCACCCATTTTTTGTTTTCGTTGTTTTTTTTATGCATAAATGGGATTACCAGTTTTTTTTTCGCCATGGATTCTTGATAATTTCAGAGGTTACTGTAGCTCAAAAGTCCGCAGAGATAGTGACGTCAATTCGCAGAATTTTTGTGAGACTACTGAATTTATTAAAGATTACTGTAACTTAAAAGTCCGCAGAGACAGTGACGTCATTTTGCAGAATTTCCGTTGAACTATTGAATTTTAGAGACTACTGTAGCTCAAAAGTCCGTAGGAAAATGACGCCAAATCGCAAAATTTTCGTCGAACTTTTGAAGCTACTGTAGCTCCAAGGTCCGCAGAGGCTCTCAGATCACTTTCTTTCCGTACTGTTTTGTATTTGAAGTTTTTTTTTGAGGGTTACGGTAGCTCATAGGTCTGCAAGCACTTCACGCCATTTTGCGGAACTTTTCAGACTTTTTTGACTTTATTAATTTTACAAAGCTGATATGGAATAGAATCTCTGAATATAATTCAAAATTACTCATGTCTCGGCAAAGTTTTCTCCATTTCGATCGGCGATCCTTCGGCCGCAAAATAGGCCTTGTCGAGCAGGAAATCGTACGATCCTTGCACGACAATGTTGGTCCTGAAAAATTGTTTCGACTGAAAAAAAAAACAAGGAAAGTGTGTTCCATCGAACATTTTGCCAAGTTTTCTAGCCACGCCCCATTTTTGATTCGAAATAAGCGAAATTCAGCGATTTTTGAGACTTCATAACAAAATAGTTCATTCACTGTGAATCAAAACAATCGGACTGTCTGTGCTCTCTTTCTTCAAAGTGCTATTTCTTGGTTTTGAAAATTTTTTATTTTTTTGCAGCGGTCAATGGACTATTCCGAAATTTTAATCGTTTTTAGAAAAAATTCCCGTATTGCTCATGTTAGCTCACAAAGCAACGGTAAATTAAGAAAAAATGTGTAGGATCCGCTGAGCTAGCGATGAATGGACTATAATGAGATTTGGAGCAATTTTTTTCCCCATTGCTCATGTTAGCTCATCAAACCCGACCAAAAATGGAAAATCCTTTAAGGTCTGGTAAGATAACGATGATTGGACTATAATGAGACTTCGAGCAAGTTTTTTCTTCCATTGCTCATGTTAGCTCACTGTAGACGCCCAAATTATCAGGGTCTGGTAAGCTAACGGTGAACAGACTATATTTAGATTTCGAGCAATTTTCCTCCTATTGCTCATGTTAGCTCATCAAACCCGACCAAAAATGGAAAATCCTTTAAGATCTGGTAAGATAACGATGATTGGACTATAATGAGATTTCGAGCACTTTTTTTCTTATATTGCTCATGTTAGCTCATCAGAAAAAGAAAGCTGACGGTGAATGGACTACGTCTAAATTTTTTTATTTTTCTGGAATTTTTTCCTTAATGACGTCATGATAACCTATCATTGGTTAGTCGTCAAAAAAATCACCAAATGCAGACGGCGGCGACGAAAAATGAGACGACGCTGACGCTGAACGGCCAAATCGGTCCGTAGTCGCGTTCGATGTACATGACGCTGAAAAAAAATGGGATCTTTATAATGCGAACACTTTTGTTCTAGCTGAAAAGGGATGAATTTAGAAAGATCTCTCAAAATTTGCTAAGATTTCTGACTTCTCTGCGCCCTCTCGACTCTCAAAATCACTTAAGGACTCACTTAGCGACCACACCAAAAAGTTGTCGAGTGAAGTCGATGCCGAATGACATGGCGGCGATGGAAAGACAGGCGAAAAAGAGAAGAATCGCGATTTCCAACTGAAAATTGGGCTTTTTTCGGAAAAATGGTCGCATTTGGAATGGCTCGACGCGTTGCGGCTGCGCGGCGGTTTCACCAGGGGAATGAGACCAAGTTTTCTATATGTAGTTTTTTACCCTGATTCTAAATTTGGTCTTAAAAACTGCCGAGAAGGTCTGTGAAAAAAGTTATGGACCCTCAAAAGTCGAAAATTTAAAAGTCTCCGATTGAGCTCATTTTTGGTGGGTATGTAGACCCTGTCCATCTGGTCACGAAAAACTATCAAATTTTTTCCAAGAAAATTTTGGAGCCAAAATATGATTTTTCAAAGCCCCGCTGAACACACGAGACAGCGCGCGCGGTGTCATATCGTGATCTGGCCACTGGAAACGCAACGGCAGCGAGGAGCAGTGGTAAACCAGCGGACTGGGGATCATGAGGTCAATGGTTCGGTCCCCACGCCGGGCAAAACTTTTTTGCAATTTTTTCTTTTACGGAGATTTTCGTGTAAGTGCTTCTTTTTGAGCTTCGATGCTTGGAAAATCGAAAATACTTCGGTTAGATGAAATTTTTGAACGTGAATTCCCATTTTTCAAGCTTTAACACGCTGTCTCTGTAACTGTCAAAAACAACGGGTACAAAAAAAAATTTTATTTTTTGATTTTGATGAAACTTTATCCAGTGTGATAACCCATCATCAGAAATGCGGACGCAACTTTTTGAGCCATTTCCTCTTACTGTAGCCGGATTACGGTAGGCAGGTGGGCACCTGCGTATCTAAGTATTGAAGAGTTATTTCTAGGCAAGTGATATATCAATCGATAGGTAATCAAATTTTTAGGAACTTTTTTTAGTACATACCATCTTGGGTTACTAAAGGAATTTTTCGAGTTACGGTAATTTTTTTGTGTTTGGAAAGTCGGTTTTTTTGGTCACCCTGGTCGTGGGCATAGAATCGCATCGTAATTACTTATATGGAATATGTCTTGTAGTATGTTCTAAACAATGCCACAAAAAAAGTTCGAATTTCTAAACCCGTCATCTCGAGATTTTCACTCGAACGCGCGCAACTTGGCACTTTGCGGCGAGGGTTGGTCGTGGTTGACGATTTTTTTCACTTTTTTTCTTCTGTTAGATATTGGTGTAAAACTTTTTTAGATTATAACTACAGTATGTTTTGTCACATTCAAAGGGGTTTGAAGAGACCTATACGCTACATATTCGGCCGAAATTTCGTTTTGAACTCTATTTTGGCTTGAAAAAGCGCGATTCGCTCTGAAAAGATTGGTTTTTAAAAATTTCCGACAATCCCGCAGTTTCCAAAGCTATTAAATATGTAGCTGACATCTTCAAGGTGCACATTCATGAAACTTTGCTTGACTTTTATCGAACCCGTCTGGCCTAAAGCTGCTTTTGAACCCTATTTTGGCTTTGTCGGTGGGTCCGAGGCTGGATTTTTGAGCTTCGTAGCTATTTTCTCATCCGTACATCGCGAGAAGTAACGTTTTCATGCAAAAAAAATTTGAACAGAAATTCAGCTGCGAGAATTTCGCCAGTTGGCAGAATATTGAGGCACTGTTGCGCTCCACTGATAACATTCGCCAGAGGCAAAATATTAAAATTCTAGTTAACTGTATTCAGGATTTATTATTGTTCTATTTTTGTTTCTGATTCTAGTTCTGTTTTTTACTTGCTGTTTTTGACGACTGCAGGATTTTTAAGTGATTTAACATTTATTTTACCGGAAAAATGGACAAAAATTCATTAAAAAAAACTTTTCATTCGTTAAATAGCCGAAACAATGTATATTCAGAATTATAATCCAAGGACGAAAGAAGAAGTTCTGAAAAAAGATCCATCAAAAGTTTCGATTTACGACTTTCTCTCAAAAATCCAGCCTCAGACCCACCGACGAAGCCAAAATAGGGTTCAAAAGCAGCTTTAGGCCAGACGGGTTCGATAAAAGTCAAGCAAAGTTTCATGAATGTGCACCTTGAAGATGTCAGTTACATATTTAATAGCTTTGGAAACTGCGGGATTGTCGGAAATTTTTAAAAACCAATCTTTTCAGAGCGAATCGCGCTTTTTCAAGCCAAAATAGAGTTCAAAACGAAATTTCGGCCGAATATGTAGCGTATAGGTCTCTTCAAACCCCTTTGAATGTGACAAAACATACTGTAGTTATAATCTAAAAAAGTTTTACACCAATATCTAACAGAAGAAAAAAGTGAAAAATCGTCAACCACGACCAACCCTCGCCGCAAAGTGCCAAGTTGCGCGCGTTCGGAGTGAAATCTCGAGATGACGGGTTTAGAAATTCGAACTTTTTTTTGTGGCATTGTTTAGAACATACTACAAGACATATTCCATATAAGTAATTACGATGCGATTCTATGCCCACGACCAGGGTGACCAAAAAACCGACTTTCCAAACACAAAAATTACCGTAACTCGAAAATTCCTTTAGTAACCCAAGATGGTATGTACTAAAAAAGTTCCTAAAATTTGATTACCTATCGATTGATATATCACTTGCCTAGAAATAACTCTTCAATACTTAGATACGCAGGTGCCCACCTGCCTACCGTAATCCGGCTACAGTAAGAGGAAATGGCTCAAAAAGTTGCGTCCGCATTTCTGATGATGGGTTATCACACTGGATAAAGTTTCATCAAAATCAAAAAAAATAAAAATTTTTTTGTACCCGTTGTTTTTTTGAAACTTTTTGAAAATTACAGAGACAGCGTGTTAAAAAGGCTGTCATGCGGAACTCGTTTCGGGTCGGATGCATTTTAGAACAACCGCAACGCGAGGCGATCCATTCCAAATGCGACCATGATTTTTTAATATTAGATATTTCTTTCAAAAAAACATTTTTATAGTATAAATATCCAAAAAAATATTCAAAAAAATTCATAATTTGTGGCAATTTTTTTATTTTTTTGTTTTTCTATTTTTCAAAATTGTCACAACTATTTTCAGTTGATGGAGATAAAAAAATTTAAAAAAAGTATTTACCCGAATAAAAAGTCATCTTGGGCCAGTACAACCGCGGTTGTTCCAGGTAGACGCCGACGAGCTGAAAAAAATCGCTTTTTTTCTAATTTTTTTCTGAATTTTTTTGAGTGTGAGAAAAATTGTAGAAATTGAGAAAATAGTTTCCAAAAAAACACTTATTTTTCCATCAATTTCTAAATTTCCATGAAGAAAATGAAAAAAAGCGAATTTTTTTAAAAAAATTTTTTTAGGGCTACTTACTGTTTCAATTTTTCGTATTTATTAGTTAATTTTTTTCTCTCAATTGGTCTTCCAAGCTATGCGAGAAAAAAATTTTTAAAATTCCAAAAAAATTCTTTTTCTTAGAAATGATCAATTTGGAATTTCGAAACATACAATTATGTTTCGAAAAGCAATGTTTCGTTCGAAATGCCTAAAAAAGGACAAGTACCATCGAAACGGAAGTGAGAAGCGACAAGACGGTCAGGGCGATTTGGCAGGTCGTCATCCAGCCCTCCAAGGAGCCCGTTTTCTGGCTCATTTCTGAAAAATTCTGATTATTGGTTAGTTTTGCATTTCATAAAGATTAGAAGTTCATGAAAAAGCTGATTTAAATATAATTTATTTCAAGATTCGTTAGAGATGAAGAAAGTTATGAGATCTCAAAAATTTTTACCATTTTATTTATTTATTTATTTCACTCAAACACGAAAGTACAGAGAAAATACAGATATAAATAAACGAATTTCAAAATTTTGGATTGAAAGATCTTCATCAAAAAAATTATCGTGACTTGATCATTTTCTTTAAAGTCCCAAGTATTTGGTCCCAATTATTTTTAAAAAAAGCTCGACGTTTTTTATACATTTTTGAGAATCTCAATGAAACTGTACACTACTGGCGTCGCAGATTCATTTGAACTTTTGAAAATTTTTTTCGTTCTCTTCCTATTTTCCCAATTTCCCAAACCTCAAAACGACTTCTGAACTTTTTCGAAGGGCTCACCGTAGAAACAAGCGGCGCCGACGCCCAAAATGGTCAATTCGACGAAAGCCGAAATGACTGCGGCCGTATTGTAATGGAGTACATTACACGTGGCCGTTCCGTAGTAGTGAGGGTCATTCGTCGTGAAAACGAAATTCGGGGGTAAGGGTTCAAATTTCGGATGGTCTTCTTCGGAGGTCATCTGGAAAAATTCTTGGAGTCCGTGAAATCCAAAAAAAAATGTCGGAAAATCACGATTTTTGAGCTGCAGACTTGTTATAACGGTATGATATGGGAATGTGCGCAAGTCGTTTTTGGTCGGGCGCAGGGAAAAGTTTCAGAAGGAAAGGGAAGAAACAAAATTTATGAAAAAGTATCGCGTATTAAAGCGGAAATCCAAAAGAAAAACGCCTAAAAATGACGATTTTTGAGTAGCAGACCTGTTATAACGATATTTTATGGGAGCGCGCGCAAATCGGTTCAGGTCGGGCGCAAGAAAAAAGCAATTTTATGAAACAAAGTACATAGGAAAGTTTCACGTTTTCAAAACGAAAATCCAAGAAAAAAAAGCTTGAAAAACATGATTTTGAGCTGCAGATATGTTATTACGATGTGTTATGGGAGCGCGCGTAAGTCGTTTAAGGTCGGGCGCAAGAAAAAAGGAATTTTATGAAACAAAGTACATAGGAAAGTTTCACGTTTTCAAAACGAAAATCCAAGAAAAAAAAGCTTGAAAAATACGATTTTGAGTTTCAGATATGTTATAACGATGTGTTATGGGAGCGCGCGCAAGTCGTTTGAGGTTGGGCGCAGGGAAAAGCTCCATGAAGAATTTAAAGGAATGAAGTTTACAGGAAAGTTTGACGTCTTTGTATCAGAAATCTGAAAAAAAAATGTCTAAAAACCACGATTTTTGAGCTGTAGACTTTGATAATAATGTGTTATGAAGGCGCGCGCAAGTTGTTTCAGGTCGGGTGCAGAGAAGGACATTTGGCATTTTTTCAAAAGCAAAGTTTATAAGAAATTTTCATGGTCTCAAAAAAAAACCTGAGAAAAACGCCGAAATATCACGATTTTTGAGCTGCACACTTGTTATCAGAATGTGATATGGAAGCGCGCGTAAGCCGTTGGAGGTCGGGCGCAAAAACCAAAAGTATATTTGGAGTGTTTTCCAGCTGAGAAATTGATGTTTCTAGGAAAATTTCCTCTCTTCACATGAAAAATTTGGCTGAAAAATCAATTTTGAATTTTATTTATGTTATAAGGATGCGTTATGCGAACGCGCGTAAGTCGTTTCAGGTCGGGCGCAGCGAGAAAAGTAGAATTCGGTTTTGTAAGAGTAGAAATAAAGTGAGAGAGATGTCATGGAAGTATTTTTTTTGGAAGAAATCTAAAGTTTTTCCAGTTTTTAATTCAATTTTTAGACAAAAACTTGATTATTTTTGGGCTTTTGAGAGGTTTTTTGCAAATTCATGTTTTTTGGCCATGCTTGCGCAAGTCGTTTCAAGGTCGGGTGCATTAAAAATATTCAAAAATGTTGAAGTTGACGAAAATTTCGAGGATAATCAGGATTTTTGAGAGAAAAATTTTTCTCGGATGTATTTTGACTTAGCCAAGGAACTGGGAATAATTTTTGGAGCCTCAAAAAAATTTTTTTAACGTCTCTATCGAAAAAGTTAAGGAGATGATAGTATAGAAAAAAAGCAGAAATTTAATGGAATAAAAAGGGAAAAATTTGAGATTTTTCGAGACTATAGCTGTTACGAACGCATTTTTTTCAAGTTTTTTTCCTCAAAAAATTGAACATTTTTGAAATAAATGAATGAAAATTCGTTAGATATAGTCGAATTTTATAAAATGTATCCTTTTTAACGGCTCAATGAAGAAGTTAAGAAGATGAAACCAAAGAAAAATCGAAAAAATAGTGAATCAGGCCGTAAAGAATGGGATCCGAAGACGTCGGATTGCGGACGAATCGATTCAGCCCCTTTGGTGGGAGTTTGACCCAGTTCCTATCCCGGCCAAGAATGACCTCATATGCCTGTTTCAATGCGAGAGATCCGTCTGGTTCTGACGGAGATGATCTTTGGAATCTGATAATCTGAGTTGATTTCATAGGAAATGAATGTAAGTAAAAAAATTGAGTAAGCAAAAAAAATTTTGAGTAAAGGTAAATAGGTCTTTAAGAGATCACTACAGAGAGAAAAAATCACTCAAGAGATCTCTTGAGAGTAATCGATCGCTCGGTCTCTTAAGAGGTCACTTTAGAGAGAAAAAAACCACTCAAATGATCCCTCAGGCCTCTCCAGTAATCGCTTTTTTCGGGTCCTTTAAGAGATCACTACAGAGAGAAAAAATCACTCAAATGATCACTCGGGCTTCTCTAGTGATCACTTAAGGGAATCCGACCATTCGACCCATTAAGAGTTTACTGGAGAGAAAGGAAAATTCACTCCAGTGATCACTTGGAGAGATATCGACTCCCTTAAAAGATCACTAGGGAGAGAAAAAATCCCTCAACTGATCACTTGAAGGGAGCAGACTATTCAGTCCCTGAAGAAATCACCTCGGAAAGAAAAGTTCGCTCAAATGGTCACTCAGGCCTCTCTAGTGATCACTTAAGGGAGTACTGGCTACTTGGTCCCTCAAGAGATCACTAGAGAAAAAAAAATCCACTCAAGAGATCTCTTGAGAGTAATCGATCGCTCGGCCCCTGAAGGGATCACTAGAGAAGGAAGAAAGCCACTCAAGAGATCACTCAGGCTTCTCCAGTAATCCTTCAAGGATTTACTGGCTACTCGGTCCCTTAAGAGATCACTGAAGAGAGGAAAAATCCCTCAAATGATCCCTAAGGCATCTTCAGTAATCCCTTAAAATGAGCCGATTATTTGGTCCCTTAAGAGATCACTAGGGCGAAGAAAATTCCCTTAAATAATCACTCAGACCTCTTTTGTAATCGCTTAAAGGAAGCCGATTTTCCGGTCCCTTGAGTGATCCCTTTAAAAAGAAAAAACAACTCAAATGGTCACTCCAGTGGTCCCTTAAGGGGCTCCAATCTCTCAGTTCCTTAAAAGATCACTATGGAGAGAAAGTTCCACTCAAATGATCACTCAGTCCTCTCTAGTGATCCCTTAAGGGGAGCCGATTATTCGGTCCCTTAAGAGATCACTACAGAGAGAAAAGTCCGCTCAAATGATCACTCAGGCCTCTCTAGTGATCACAAGAGGATTCGACCGTTCGGTCTTTGAAGATATCACTATAGCGGGGGGAAATCCAGTCATAAGATCATTAAGGCCTTTTCAATGATCACTTAAAGGGAGAGATTATTGGAGAGCGTAAAGTTCACTCAAATGATCTCTTGGGCCTCTCCAGTGATCACTTGGAGGGACCCGATAACTCGATCCTTTAAAAGGCCACTTGAGAGAGGAAAATTCGCTCAAATGATCACTCAGGCCTCTCTAGTTATCACTTAAGACCACTTACGCATTTTTCTCATTTTTTCAAGGAAAATGGCCGTTTTTCGACTTTCCAGTCATTCTTTTTTGGATCTTATTATAACCTCTATTATTTTGTCACATTTTTATCTCCTTGAAAAGGTCCATACCAATGCATGATTAGTTCAATAAACTTTTTTTATTACTTTTGGAGTTTTGCCTGATTCCTATTTATGAAAATCCCCCAGGAGAAAAGGAAATCCTTGGGGAATTAGTAGGAGTAGGATCTCTGGCCCACGCAAAAAGAACAGTCGCTTTTTTTTTCTTCTCTTGTTCTTCGAAACCCACGCATTGGCCACGCGGCTCTTTGATCTTCGAGCTCAAAGGAATCAACTTTTTCTTTTTTTTCGTTTTGTTGTCAGAATTTTTTGATTATTGTTATTATAGCCTTCTTCAAGAAATTTTTTTGAATTATCGTTTAGAATTTGAGAAATTTCATTCCTTTTTGGGGGAGAGGGTGGCAAATCTTGAATCTGAAGGTCATGGAATTTGCTTTTTTTCACTTTTGAAGAATTTTTTTGATGAAAGAATCTTTATTAATTTTTTTCTGAAATTATTAAAAAAAGAACAATCTTTTCAAAATTTAACAAGAAAGGCTTCAAGAGCAATTTTTGAATTTTTCATGAAAAATCACTTTTCTGACAAAAATCTCGCTTTTGCCACTTTCCTGAAGCGGAGTTGTACGTTTTCCCCCTGCGCCCGACTTTAAAACGACTTGCGCGGAATTACAAAAAAAAATCGAGATTTTTCACCGAAATTTCTCTGTAAAACAGGAAAGTTATCGATAAAGCCCGATTTCTGGTCAAATTCAGGTTTTTTTTTGCTCATTTTTCAGTGGTTTTTCCCCTATATTTCAAGTTCTCTGTTTTTTTTTCCAGTCTTAGTTCAATAAGAATGCAAAATCCTATGATTTAAAAATGACTTTTGGCGATTGATTCAAAGCGCAACCGACCCAAAGCGACTTACGCTTCAGGGCAATGAGGACTTTTTTACAAGTGTCCAATCGGCTGAAGTTAGGTTAGATACCGACCGCAACGCCTACAGTCATTCCAAACGCGGCTCTAGATTCAACGTCTCTGTTCCTCCTAAAATTTTCAAATCTCATCTGGACAACATCCCCGACAATGAATTATTCATCAGCATCCCTAGACGGCTACTATGATCTCAAAAATCTCAATATGCATATACGTGTATTTTATCAACTGTGATGTCTATTGTATTCCCCATCCGGTGAGGTCACTCGTGAGGGTGACCAAAAACCGGTTCTTAACCTTATTTATTCTTTTCACTTTGTGGATGAGTAAATTATTATTAACTTTCCAACGCCTACAGTCATTCCAAACGCGGCCAAAATTTCGAAATTTCTCTAATTTTTTTTTCACGTTGAGACCGCCACGCTTTCAGCCATTCCAAACGCGACCAAATTTTTTTAAATCCTCCAATTTTTCTCTATGTTGAAACCGCTACGCAACCGCGACGCTTTCGGCCATTCCAAACGCGACCAAAATTTTGAAAATTTCCACATTTTTCACTGAAGTCGAAGCCGCTACGCGACCGTGTCGTGTCGATTTTTCTATTTTTCCACTTATTTCAATATTTTTTGGAGCTTCTTTTTGTTTCACAATGCACCAATTCTGAGAGTTAAATTTGTCAGAAAACAAGCAAAAATTCAAAAAAGAAGTTCTTCAAAAATTCTCATTAATCAACA